AGATCTGAGTTTTGGGTAAGAGACACTACAGAGGTACAAAGTGTCTGTTACAATGACTACAAGAGCCACATAAGCAGGACCCATTCACATTCTCCTTTAAATTTATGGAAGTATCCCATTCACTTCAATAGAAGCATGACCTTGAGAAAAGGTTTAGGCAGTAGAAGTGGAGGATTAGCTTTGACTTAAATACCTCAGCTTTGCAAGTTAAGCACTATCTGATTGTTTTGTGGTTTTATGTGAAGGTAGTGCTCGTCTTTATTTCAATAATGACTTCTACTTGGCTACACTATCCAACGCAGGCAAACAATCATACTCCACATACGAACAATTAAAAAACTGGAAAGTTTTAATTAAAGAAAGAGTTTGTAGCAGAGCAAATACTTGCCTGTCCATTTCAGCTTCCAGCTGGCAGTAGGCTGCATAGGCAATGATATTTTCATGGCCACACCTTTCAGTGGTGAGAGCACTGACGTAAAGTACAAAGTCAGCATCTCGAACCCCTTCTTGGTCAGGCAAGCCCGTGGGTAAAAAAAAAAAAAAAAAAAAAAAGGGCCTGGCAAGCTAGGTATCTCAAAATAAGCACCCTTTATTTCCCATAAATTAAAAAAAAAAAAAAAAATTGGCTCACAGAAATAGTACTCATAAGTAGCAACTGCATTTCACATGTGACCTGGTACATTTTTAATACTGTAGCTGAAACTTCAAACTGAGAGAAAGAAAGAATTCTATTGATCACAAACTATAGTTGAATCAAAAATTCATGCAAGAAAACAAGTTAGAAGCATTTCCTACGTCATGCTCCTGGTTCAATGTATAGCCTCTTCAAATAAAGTCTTAAAAAAATCAAAACCTATTATTAATTCTGTGAAAATCTGACCCACTGACCAAGGAGAATAATGATTAGTTGCAATTTAACAAGCTTTGACTCTCATCCTCTCTGTACAGTTCGTTATAACACAGGCTTAGAGAAAACAGTCCAGTTTTATTTTAGTTTTGGTTCAACAGATAAAGAAACTCCCACTAAAATTGTTCTATTCTGCCACTCCAACTTAGTGATCTCCTGCAAACAGCTCACTGCTAGCGATATTAGCTTTTTTAGTAATTTCCACAAACAGTAATACTTCAAAGATCAAGAAGCATGTGGATGCCTTAGCTTACCTGGAGGTGTTTCTCAGGAACTATAACTGGCCCACATCTTGTATGTTGTGCGCAGGCTCCTAGGCAGTACCTGTGAGGGTCAGCTTTCCTCCTTAAATATTGGTTTGTCGCACACTGCCTTCAATCAAACATGAAAGACAGTCAGCACTGTCTTAGAATCAAAAAGAAATTGTAGAATAGTCTTATAGCACCCAACAATACTGTAATACAGGTATTTAATGTAACTTCCACAGTGAGAATTGTTAGTTACCCTGCTCTGGAAGATGTAACGCTTCCAGCTGTTAATGGAGTATCCACCAGTTCAAAGAGAGATTAGGAACAGGTTCATTAATAAAGATCTATGTAAAAGGAAACAGGCAGCATAGACTCATAGAATTGTCTAGGTTGGAAGGGACCTTTAAGATCATAGAGTCCAACCATTAACCTAACACTGACAAAACCACCACTAAACCATGTCCCCCAGCACCACGCCTACCCATCTTTTAAATACCTTCAGGGATCATGATTCAAACACTTCCCCAGGCAGCCTGGTAACAATGTTTGATAACCCCTTCTGTGAAGAAACTTTTCCTAATGTCCATCCTAAACCTAATATCCATCCAAAACCTTTAAATGCTGAAATAAAGGGCATGTATACCCTTTAAATCTCAGGCACAACAAATGTAGAGGTTGATCATGGATGGTCAGCAGATTTGTGTATTCTCCCTAAATAACATCTGCTACCACCACTGGGACAGATGGTTCACTGGTCCAATTCACAAAGTGAATTTTACATTCTCAAAGTCTATAAAAAGATGTTAAATATCAAATATAACAAGTGACTGTCAAGAAACTTCCACATACCTGCTTAGTAATATAGTACCCGAGGATTTGCGCACTTGAAATGTCTTCTCCAAATAAGATATAGCTTGTGGGAAAAGTTTGTTCTAAACAGAACAAAAATAATAGTCACCCAGAGACAGTGCAGATATAACTCACCTTACAATCATTAACTACCAAGTTACATAAAACCTGCCAGACGCTGCAGTATAGAAGAACAGTAGAAATCCAGGCTTCCTAAGAAGTTCAATTGTTATCAATATATTTGGGAAATACCTTATTTCAGTATTCCTGTATTTTGTTATTGGAATGACAAAACAAGAGTCAGTATTAGTAGGAATGTACAGCTTCAAAGAGGCTGAATTTATTTCAGCCCTGAACTTACTGGTCACTGTGAACAGTCCATCACAAATTTCTAGGAGCTCCTGTCTCTCTGCAGTCCTCAAGCCTGACTGCTTTACTCCTTACTTGCACAGTATCTCAAAAGAAACCAGGAGAGATATTTAAAATATTCTTAATAGTGCCAAAAAAACCCTTTAAAAGCTATATACATATTGGTTCCTGAAACCTCTACACATTGGGATATAGCAAGCACCTGTCAAACGTTCATCAGAACATTGGAAGTATTTGGAACGGAGGCATAATCTGTACACAAAGCCTTGGTTTCCCTGACTAGAAGATACGAATTGGCTGGTATTCAGAACCTTTAATTAAAGGCTTTGAACTGGCAAAGCCTTAACTTCATCCGCACAATAAAACACGTACAAACAAAAGAGAGAAGCAAACACGACATACCTTTATAAGGTGCCTTTTCTCAGATAGCAAGCTATATTTAAACAAAGAAAAAACAAACAAACAAACAAACAAAAAAACAAACAAGCTTTAGTTAATAGGATTTCCAGTCTCAGACGTGGAAGGAAAAAAAAAAAAAAAGAAAGTCACCACAACGCTATACTCACTCCTCGACGCTTCTATCATATATAATCTTGATTCTTAGCTGCTGATCCACGTTTCTCTTCAAGACGTGATTCTCCTTGAGGGGCACTCGATAGACAACCTGGCGGGGAGAGGAACCGCTGAGGCGGCCCGCCCGGACAGCCGCGCCAGGGAGCGCCCCCAGGCCCTTCGCTCCTCTTCGCCTGCGAGGAGCCGCTTTTTGCTTCTTTTTCAACCAAAAAAAAACCCTTCCCGCCCTTCTCCTCACCGGCCCGGTCAGTCAATAGACACCCTGGGGCAGGGCCGCACCCCGCACGCCTCGCCCCGGGGCAGCCGTGAGGGGACAGACCGGCGCTCCCCTCACCACGGGAGCGGGAAACGGGGGACCCCTCGCCCCCTGAGAAGGCCCTACCTCCTCGCCGCTGGGCACGCGGTGGTGACAGGAGGAGGAAGAGCAGGGAGAGAACAGCAGCACGGCGGCAAAAGCGGCGAGCAGCGGCCGGTAAGGGCGGTAGGGCAATGAGCGCCCGCCGGCCGGCGCGGCGGCCATCTTCAGCCGCCCTGCCGCCGCGTCGCTATGGAGGCAGCGCCCTTGGTAGCGGCCGCAGCCAATGGGCGAGCGGGGGAGGGTGCGGGGGAGGCGATGGGCGCTTCTGATTGGTCGCGGCGCACAACGGCGGGGTGGGAAGGTGGGGGGGGGCGCCGCAGTGCGATGCAGCGACACGGGGTGGAAGGGACCGTAAAGATCATGGAGTCCCACACACCTCCCACTCAGACCCCCTCAGCCAGCCTGGCCTTGGCTGGTTGAGCCTCCTCAACCATCACCTCCAGGGATGGGGCATCCGCAGCTTGTCTCAGCAACCCGGTCCAATGTCCCCCCACCCTCACAGGAAAGAATTTCTTCCCAAGATCTAATCTAAGTCTCCCCTTTTTCAGGTTAAAACCATCTCCCCTCATCCTATCGCTACGCTCCCTCACAAAGAGTCCCTCTCCATCTCTTCCGTAGCCCTCTTTTAGGTACTGGAAGGGGCTATCAGGTCTCCCTGGAGCCTTCTCGAGAAGTTTTGGTTGGGACATAGCTGAGACATCACAGAAGGTACCTCCCATCCTTGAACAGGATGTGAAACAAAGCAACGTGTCTTAGTGTTCTTATGCAGTTGCTGACTTAGACATAAGACATAAGACATAAGACAGCAAAAAACCCCTAACTTCTGGACCAAAATCTATTACTAAGCTCCGATTTGCTTTAAATGAGGATTCACACAGGACCTCAGCGTCGCATGGGCGTCTGTGGAAGAGCAGAAATTTTTTCATATGGCCACTTACAGATTGTCACAGAATTGTCAGAGTTGGAAGGGACCTTCTGGAGATCATCTAGTCCAACTCCCCTGCCAAAGCAGGGCTGCCCAGAGCACATCACTCAGGGCTGCATCCAGGTGGATCTTGAAGATCTCCAGAGAAGGGGACTCCACACCTCCCTGGGCAGCCTGTTCCAGGGCTCCATCACCCTCACCGGAAAGTTCTTCCTCATATTTGAGTGGAACTTTCCATGTTCCAGTTTCTGCCCGTTGCCCTTTGTCCTATCGCTGGAAACCACTGAAAAGAGTCCAGCTCCATCATCCTTCAACCCATCCTCTAGATACTTGTAAACGTTAATAAGGTCTCCCCTCAGCCTTCTCTTCTCCAGGCTAGAGTCCCAGCTCCTTGAGCCTCTCCTCATCATGGAGATGCTCCAATCCCTCCATCATCTTAGTTGCCCTAAGCTGGACTCTCTCCAGTAGCTCTCTGTCTCGAACTGGGGAGCCCAGAACTGGACACAGTATTCCAGTTGTGGCCTCCCCAGTGCAGAGCAGAGGGGGAGAATGACCAACCTCCCTCCCTCAACGTAAAGGAGGGCAGAACAATTCCACCTGCAGTCCTTACACACACATCACTCACACAGACACCACCTGAAAAACAATTCTACCTCTTTTCAGCTTCTCACTATTTATAGCCTCACCGTAACATATAGACGTTCAAATGTAACACTTCAGCTTGAAGTGTGTCCCTTTGCATAAAAATACAACTCCATGATACACCACAGCTGTTTGAAACTACCTTTATTTAAAACACGCGTATATGGCTTTTCATTGGCAGTTGTAAGATTATCACTGTAATTAAGTGTACAGCTTGCAAAGATGTACAAATACCATTATTCGTTTGTTTTACAGAACTTTAAAAAGTTTTCAAATATTTTTAAAGGGGTAACTGAGTATGTCCCTCTCTGCAAACTGGTAATTCTACAGAAGGGTTACCGTTTTGACAGTGACCAGAAGAAATCAAGTGTCTCCCTTTACTGCCTTGAAAATTCCAGAAGTGTTGACTTTGTATGTGCAAGTCAGATGTACACACAGCACAGGGGACCATAGAAAATGCCCGTAAGAAACAGGTATTAATATGGAAGTTTATACCTAGAAAATAACAAAGTATGCCGCAGCAGCATAAGGAGAGGTGAAACAACGAATACAAAGTCTAAGTTTAATATTGGGTATCTCTTTTCCTTCAGGACTCTCAGCACCAACAAGGGCAAGCGGATGCCTGAGAATGACTGAAAATAGCGAGAGAGGCTATTCCTCCAATGTGGAATGTTCTAAATAAATCCTCACAGGGAGGCAGGCACTTGGTGCTTTACGGTGGTAACTGGAAACAGGAATGCACACGGATGTGCTGGCCCACCTTACACCTCTGACTTCAGGCCCCAGGTCTCCTCTGCCTCGCACGGGGAGAGGTCAGGGCTGTTCTCACAGTTCTTGGCTACACACCTCCTCACCACTACGTTTGAAATGCGAGTATTGAAATAGCATCTTCCAAAATACTTGCTTATCCCGGCCTCACTGGGTTGATAATTTGAAGACATACTTAAACACACGGATAGATAAGCTAAGTGGTTATTTAAGAAACCTAAATGTAAACAAGAATCAAGAATTGCCCTGCTAATTCCCACATGTAAAAGGCACTGAAGTTTTCCAGATTTCTAAGAATATTCTATTTTCTGAAAGTAATAAGGTATTCAGGATACGCCTGAATGTCATTAAATATGACAAACATTCTTGGAGAATTCACATCATCGACCACGCTGTCGTACAGGTCAGTAGGATCTGCTGGGTCCTTTGGTGGTGGAGTGATGAGTCCTTTGCTGCCAGTGCAGTACTGCCCAGTGAGGACACGAGCCAAGTACATGTATCTTCTGCCATTCATATCTGGTCTGGAATAAGTATTCTGAGCAGAGTAACTTGCATCAACAGCAAAGTATGTTCCATTTCCAATGACTGCAGCTGTTTGGAAGGACAATGTTTTCAAACAGAGTTAGTGTTCTTATTCCCACAAGAATCTCTGAAGCTTCCCCCCCCTTTTATTTTTCTTTAACTCTGCAGAAGTTATAAACTTGGTTAAACGGTAAATTCTAGTAATAATCCTTTATATCAGAATCAAATATGAATCCACTCAGATGCCAGCTAATTATCAATACCCAGGTTTTGTCTGCCCTTTCCTATGGGGAAAAGGGTTCATCTCTGTGTTTAGCCTTGTTGTTTAGGCTGCAATCCATCAAATTGCAAACCTTCAGAGCCTTTTCAACTTCAAATTACTATGATAATTTTAACTACAGTTTTCTAGTTACACCACTTGTGATTGACTGTGCTGTCCTTATCTTTGGGGGCAACAGGAAAAGTATTTCTTCCACCTCTACTCTGCTACAAGCCTTTGTATAAGAAGAGAGGAGATACCAGCAGGTAGCGGTTGGTATCTCAGCTGAAGATGCTGAACAGCAGCCCTTGCTCCTTTCTGCAGGCAGATCATACAAAACATTTCTCAAAAGCTGCCCAGGCTTGGTTTCAGCGTAGGCAAGATTTTCCTAATACCCTCTAGATGGTGGCATTCATCAACAAGGGATTAACTGAACAGGTTAATCCCTCTGTCCATATAGATTATGCTCTGGAGTTGTTTATCATTTTATTCTCCAACTTTATCCAGCCTTCATGTTGTGCTAACAGCACTCTAACATCCACATTCCCTAGTAATCCATATGTGTCTAGGAAATGAACTGCTTTGGGTAACGACTCACCGTTTTTTCCAGCAAACCCACGATTAAATCCATTGTAGTTGATGGTGCTCAACGAGCATGCAGCTGTCCCATGAAACAGCAACTTCTCGTTACTTTGATGCTTGTTCTTTTTACAGAGAGATTTTTTTTTAATTTGGTATGTCTGCCAGAGGAAGGGATTTTGTATTCTTTCAATCTGCAAAGTTACAAAATAGACTTATATTTATACTGGTAGGGACCAATATTTATCATGGCAGGAAAGCATTAAAACCAAACCAAACTGGAAGAATGACAGTGACTTTCACTGTGCTCTGTTAGTGTGTGGGTTGGGAAACCAAATACCTGAGCCTTGTCAAAAATCGGAAACCAAAGTAGCTTACAGGAGGTTTCCACAATGGATAGTTTTGGGCATACGTTTGTCTTGCCTGGTGTTCCAGGTACACAGGCAATCGTGTTAGCTCTGCGTTGCCATTTTTAGAAACGGGCTGAGGTGCCACTGCTAGAGGCAACGATAGCAGATGCTTTCTGTACATCCTAATCATCTTTACTGATGATTTTCTCACTAAAAAGTAGCCTGTAGTGACAGCACTATGTCGAATTTAAGTTTCTCTTCCAGATCTCAGCTTGGAAGTCAAAATTACTTCCTTTACTGTGTAGCTTAGCAACCCCTAAGAAACTCCTATACAAAAATAAACGGGTGGGAGGATAGATGTTGCTGGCTCCCTATGCCAACAACGTGAATATAGCTTAGGGGAAAACAGTGTATCTGTGTCTAAGTACAATCTTAAAGGCACTGCTGTAACAGCTTTCCATTTTCAATGGAAAAAGACCTCACGTCATTACCCGATTTTTTCCACTGTACACTAATATTTTGTTCTATTTGTGTCTTAGTGACCACGCTCATTGAAGCTCAGGATGGAAGATGGAAGAAAATTTGTCAAGTACATATTCTCACTCTTAATTTCAATGCATCTTCTCCTATTTATCGCTTATCCCGGTTCTGAATAATTCCATATTCTCCCTGGCAATTAGATCTCTGGGTACTGTGTTGCAGACTCTTCGATAAGCAGAATCAAATCTTGACACTTTGGTTAAAACCAACACTCTAGCCTGAAAGGCTCTGGGACTGCTTTATGGCCAGTCTGCAAGGACTTCATATTTTGTTTTATATTCTGAATGCATTTGTTTATGCTTCCATTTCAATATTGAATTTCCTAATTGGAAATGCCACGCTGACTAGTGAGTACCACATTAGTTGAACAGAATCAACTCAAAAACCAATGGTCACTGTTTCTGTGCTATTAGAAGGCAGAAATGGTAGGGCAACTCTTTGGAAATTTGATTTTATTTCTATCCATCCTGTAGAGTGCTTGGGGAGACTGACGTGTGACAGGTGTATTAGGTTGCAGGCAACTTACAAACAAATATTTAGAAAGTACATTAATGTTTTCAGCCCAAGAATTCACTTTGTTTCCCCCATAGGATTTCACCTTCTCTATGACAAAGTTGGGACAGGTTTTCTTAAATCTGTTCTGGACTTCCACGTACTCCCGACTTGATGGCTTGAGATTCACCAGTTTGACCCGTTCCTCTCCCATGTCTTCCCACTGCGCAGGGAGCTCTATCGACTGCTTATCTGCAAAATTGAGATTGCATTATCATCACAAATGTCTAGCTCAGTTTTGTAGGAACATCTTACAGAACAACTGCACATAGAGGGCTGAGAGGATAGTACCTTATACAATACTTTATTCCAGGAATACTCTGTGTCTTCACTACTCTAATGCACTGTTAAGACTTTATAATTGAATTACCCCCATACCAATATCTAACTAAAACAAGTCTAAAAACCACAGAAGAATTTTACGCATTCTTCATACAACATTTCCTTCGTCAGACTTAAGCATGAAATCTGTGCTCACTAGCAACATACATACAGATAAAATTTGTATTTAAAACAGACGTTCTGATTTCAGTCATACCTGCCACTAATTATGAAGCTAAAACTGCTGGACGGGGAATAAAAAGCTATTCTTACTTCTTTGGAATATCTGAGTTTGCATTTATGATAATTATCATTCTATATTCACTACTAAAGGTTTTTTTTATTAACGAAGTTGTAATTTACCTTTATTCTTTGGCACACGTTGAATGTTTATAGTTCTTCCTTGGTCATCAATAGCCTGTAGATTATTCAGATCCACATTGCAGTTGTTCTTGTTAATTCTGACAGTAAGATGTGTTCTTTTGGCTATTTTGGCATCCTCCAGCTGCATATTTGTCAGTTTATCAAAAGCAACAAAGCTACCATTGCTTCCTGGATACCTCCATTCTACCAGGTTGTAAACAAGTTCTGCCTTGGATCGTTCTTCTTCAGTGTCCTTTATTTTTTGGATCATTTTTTGAACTTCCACAGAAACAAAGCAGACATCCCTGCTAATACCCGAAATTTTAATGTGATGGGGGGAATGTTTATTTTCAAGCTGAATGGTAACATGCTTTCTTCTCTGGAGATCTGCCAAAGCGTCAATTTGCCTCTCATCAAAATTTTCAATTAGCTCATCTGAAATAATATTTTCAAACTGTTCCTTTAAAATTAAATTCTTTATCCATGATTCAGTTGCATCCACATTTTTTTTGCTTTCTCCACAAATCTGGAATGTGGCTAAATCAACCTTCTTCTCCAAAACCACAGGCTTTTTCTTCTCAATGAGTTGGGTTTTGCCCCCTGAAAATACCGTGAAGAAACACATGTTAATTATTACTTTTAAATAAAAGATATTTAGTTATATGTGCCCATGGCACAAGGAAAACCCACCTACTTATATTTAAATATGGACACTCACGAACCTGTTATGGATGAATTTGAACCTTTTCTTTTCTTCATGCTTTCGTAAAAGTCTCTGAGCATATTTGCCTGGAAGATGATGATTTTAATTATTTTCAAATGCTGTACTGATGTTTTGGTTGCAAATTCCACTATAGCATCCAACATCTCATCAGCCACCTTTGCTGGACACTGTCCTGCTTGACCTAAACAAATATAAAAGGCGGTGAGTGGTACCTAAACCAAGGCAGTGTCTGAAAACAGAGAGAAACAGCCTGTGTCCCCAGCTCACAGACTGGTGTCCCTCTCTCCCCCACTATTGTGCTTTCTGGCCAAAGCCCCAGGTTTAACCTCAGCTCTACACCTAAGCCTGCGAGCTCCGGGAGCTGACATCCTACACAGACCCAGGAAGCCCTTCTAGGATTCGTCCCTGTTTACTGTGAAGCTCCAAGAAGCACTTCAGCCTTAGCATCACTACTCTATCCCCATCTGTAAGCCGAGTACCCAAGTAAAACCAAATCAAAATCAGCAGAGGATTTTGGCACAAGCTTGCAGTGTGTTTCAACATACAAACAGGAACACCAAGCTCAAAACGATTGCTCTCATTGCCCTACAAGCCTGAAGTGCAACCTAAAGCTTATCCTAAAATGCTGACAGGACGCTTGCCAATTTCAGTCACGGCATCCCTTGGACAGCCATGGTGACACCAGCACGCAGAGGATGCTGGCAGTCCAGGGGACCTGCCATAACTATCACTGTGGACTCCAAACACTGACCCACACACCAGCTGTGACCCTAACCTGGCACACTGAGCAAGGACCACCTCATAATTTTGTTTTCCAGTCAAGGGGAGCCTTGGTCTGAGAAGGATACCCTGCTTTCTTCAAGCCCGGCTCCCCAAGCTAAACAGAAGCTGAAGCCAAATAAGCTGGCCTGCCTCAAGCCCTGTGCTGGACCAGGTAGGCTGAAACAAGATCTTTAAAAGGTGTAAACTGCAAGCATTCTGTACTCAGCCCACAATTTCTGTAGTCAACCAGGCAAGGTTTTGGTCTCTGGACGACTCCATCTTTCTTTGCCTACAAAGCCCAACCACAGCCTTTCTGTGGGGCTGAAATCCCAAAGCAAGGTCTATGGGAAGTTTGAAGAAAGGTGCAGGGTGGCCAGCTGAGACACACAATCTGTTTTGGGGCAGAATCTCTTTTACAGAGCCATACCTTTTCTTCTTGCTCAATCAATATTGACTGTAATATTAATACTTTGGAAAAAGCAGCATTTTAGAGGTGTGCAGGTGGTATTTGAACTGACTACAGTGAACCTTCACAAATCATGGTTTACAGAGTTTCTTGCACAAGTTTACAGTTACACATATCAGAGGTATTAACTTTGTCCCACTTTCTGAACCACCTCCGTCACAGCCATCATCGCTTTCCCAAGAAAACACAAACCTGTTCCAATTGCTGGGAAGGAGACAGATTTGTACTTCATTTGCTCACACTTTTCAAGCACAAGGGAGACCTGACTCTTCACATCGTTACCGCTAATCAAGTGCATGATTTTCTTGCACGACAGTTTTCCACCTTCTGTGATAACCATGCCATTTTTAGACATCAGAGCTAGAAGAGAGAAGATAAAAAAGAAGACATAACATTTTCAAAGTGGCTATCTCTTCTGATAGGACAGCTGGTTATATTGATGCTAGAAGAGAAGTGGAAAAAGTGAACAGAAATCCACTGTGAGCTATATTATCCTGGTTTTGCAGAATTGCTTTGAGAAAGAAATTCAAGTAATTGTGTTTTCTAATTTCCCAATATCTCAGCTGCAAAGTAGTTCCCTATTAAGTACAACTTGAGAATTTATGTTGAATTTCAATATAGCACACTTTTAAATAAAAGCCCGCAAGTAGAATGTGCACAATTAATTTATATGATAAATCCTTTCCTATGCCACTTATTCCTTGAAAGCTCCAACTCTTACTCCACAGAAGAGCTGAATGGCTACAGTAATACCATTCAGATAAAGACCAACTGATCTAAGAACTGTGGTTAGGAATCTTTAAAGAGACATTTGTGTTTTTTCAGAGCACTCACATTTGATCACAAACACCTCAAAATGGAGTCACATTGTGAGGATGAATGGATTGATGAACACACAGTTACATACCACTTTGCTGGTCACAAAGGTAACAACTGACTGTAAGATGCTCTGCATGTGCTGGGATCAGGCTGATGAACAGGCAAAGCCTGCAGAGCCCCAGGCTGGGAAAAATATCCAGGAAACCCCATCCTGAAAGTTAACTTTTGGAGTCAGAGCAAGAACATTTTGTTTATGCAGCCAGAACGTGTTTAGAGGCCAACCACAGTGAGGTGGGATTTTATGGCTCTACTGGTGTGGCAGAATGCAGACTACAGAAGAACTCGTGATCACAGCGATAAGCAGAGTTAAATACATAATTATTTTTTATTGAAATAATGTATGAATATAAGCCCAGATTTGCTACCAGCTTTTAAAAGCCAGCCCTGCAAGTGCTTACACCAAAAGACTTCCGCCACTTTGTTCAGTTTCAAAACTTCACCTCCCTTGTAGCTGACAATACAGGAGCTTAAAAATGATGCTCAAGTCTATGGGACTGTTTCTGTTCTTAAGTCAAGAATAATTTCAGGGGTAAAGAACTGAAATTACATTAACTTCCCAGCACTTATTAGCATCAGAAAACTGTAACCATTTTCTGTTCAGCTGTAAAAAGAAAAATTCTCAAAGTAGGTATCCAAATAATAACAGGACTTTTCAAAATTCCTAAAAGTAAGAGTTATTTTTAAAGATAAAATAATTATACCATCAGAGTAGGGAATTATAAAATAACTAAGTTTTCAGAGAGCACAACAAAATAACCCCAAACTTAATCAAACAAAACGTATATTTTAACATACCATATAGATCATATTCTTCTTCTACCTGGGAACCAGCAGCATCTATAATTGCTTTGAAGACCCCTTAAATTATACAAGAAAATAATATACATTCATTAAGTCAACGTAGCTATTTCAACTGGAAAGTCTACTCAACTTCTGTACTCCACAAATACCCTAAATTTGGGGTAAGATCCCACAAAGTGCAAAACCTTGTACCCTACGTACCCTTCACGACACACTGCACTGGCTGCAAAGAGAACACCGCCCTTGTTATTGATTAGAAATCATTGACAATAACTCCTATTTTGTCATTTCACCAGTAGTAAGCCCCCCACCAAACTCTCCAATTGTTTTGCATTGTATCATTTGATGTTTTTCATGCTTGCAATTCACAATGTCACCAAAGCAATCACAGAATCACAGAATGATATGGGGTCAGAAGCGACCTCTGGAGATCATCTAGTCCAACCCCCTGCCAAAGCAGGTCCACCTAGACCAGGCTGAACAGGAACGTGTCCAGGCAGGCTTTGAATGTCTCCAGAGAAGAAGACTCCACCACCTCTCTGGGCAGCCTGTTCCAGTGCAATCCTCTGTTTCTTACAGGTCAATTTACTTAACTGGGGCTTTGGCTTACAGTGAAACATACCAGGACAAGGGCAGCTTTTCAGAACTACCTTTGAGCTAAAAGTTCCCTTTCATTTCAGCATTTTTGTTTTTAAACAAGAAAAATCTGGTCAGATGCCTTTCTGTTTGAGTAGTTTGGAAACGAAATAGAATATTCAGGGCACGTAAAAAAAAAAACTGTTTAAGATCTATTTTCTGACTAATCACAACTCTCTCATCTGAAAAATACTTCATAGAAGTTTCACATATGGACAAATCTTTCCCCTACCCCCTTCTAAAAAGTAGCCCAAACTTATCACTAAAGACCTACATATTGAATAAAGTACCTGTTGTGGTATAAAATGTTGGATTTGTTACGCATACAATAACCTCGGTATCCTCCTTGGTAATATCTCCACTAATTACTTGGAGTGTAATGGAACCAATCTGCATTTCATGAACTCCCAATGCTTCATTTGAAACGGGCCTAATGGAACCTGCAAGGGAAAACAAAAACACCTTAAAACACTTCTCCAGCTCGGGGTATTATTCTGTTCCACTGATGGAAACTTCAACTTATCCTTTTAAGGAATATGCTCAGTCTGATAGACCCAGAGAGCCTCTGCCTGTCTCTTTACTCCATTTCTGAAAGCAGGAAGGCGTGGTATTCTTCCATTCAACTACTGTGAAAACGAAACAGTTTCTATTCCTGTTCAGGCAGTACAAATTCAGAAAGGACTCCTGGGGTTATCTGAGCTGACTAGCTCTGTTTCAGAGCTTCCTGAATCAACTCTTCCAGGAAATGGAGTATCCAGCTTAAGCATTTTCAGTAATACAGATCCCATCACGCTACTTTTGGATTTTGTCATTAATTTTTACCTTCACAGATGTAAAACTGTTCCTTACTTCTAGTCTAAACTTATCCAATTCTTATTTTATCTGCACCCTCTCAACTTCCCTCTCACTGATACTCACAGCAACTGAGAAGAAAGAGCTACGTGCTCCTACGAATAAGCCTCTGCTGTTGATGCAGTTCACTCATGGTTTTGCTACTGTGTCACACTACAGTCAATTAATAAATGGAAGGGAAATGATCCATTCTGTATTTCTCTATATAGGAGATTAAAGGTAGAGAAGTACATGTTATTTATGGCTTGTTTGGCAAAGTGATACCAAGTTCTTGTACCCTTTCAGTAGGACAAACTGATGGGTCTCCTACCAAGATATCCTCTTCCATGCGGTAAGCCTGGCCTCGCAAGGAAATGAGCACACCCTCAACAAAAGAAACTCCTCTTTAAGATTTTGACAAATGGGGTTTAAGAATGCCAGTCCATTAGGAGGAAAAAATCCCACTCTGTGTCTTGACGACACTTTGTCTGTTTCCTGAGACGTATAAAACCACTTTACAGCATTTACATTCTCCCTCGTGTCCCACCTCCTGCCCCTACACAACTTACTTGACCACGGTGCTGCAGCATTGCAACTTTCAGCTACCCTATGCTCTAGCTCAGTGGTAAAAGCCTAAGAAGAGAAAAAAAAGGTACCAAAAAAAGCTTTTAGGAGTTTACGTACCAAGTATTTCTACACTTAACAGTCACATAGCTCTTGCTGAGCCATATGACATATTTTACAGGTGCATTTAGTTATCATTAACAACAGTGGCAGCCTCAGGGTGGAAAGTGTGACAACAGAGACTGTCTTTGCGTTGCCAGAACTCTTCTGTCAGAAGATGAGTGAGGATCTACAGGTGTTCACAGTGCCAGCAGTGAGGCCAATTTCATCTGCAGCTTGTGTTTGCTGACAGTTTATATTCCAGAGACACTGAATGACACACTGGAGATACATAACATCCCACTGTCACCGGCCCACAGCAGCAAGAAAGTGCTAAACTATTGCCTTGAGAAAGCAATGTGACTAAAATATATTGTTAATGCATAACTAGAACAGTATGTAACATGAGCAGCTTTGCTCCCGAGAAGGACTACCTGAATGTTATCCAGATCTCTTGGACTCAAGAGAAAATGAACTTCCTTGAGAGTCTTCCGAGTGTGATTGCTACTGAACTTGAATACCATATCAAACATTAACTCAGAAACGAGGGTTTTAGGAAACCCAAATCCTCCAGTTCCAATAGCTGGGAAAGCGATTGAATTCAATCCAAGTTCCTCAGTTTTCTTCAAGCAGAAATCGATTATGCCTTCTAGGATCTGTAAACACAGCAAAGATCCACAAGAAAAAAAAAAACAAAACAACTACAGGCATCATTTATTATTAGTTCCATAGAGACTGTGCTGGTATGAGGAAAAGCTCTCAGCACATCAGGACATCTTTAAGGTCATTCAAACAGAAACAAATGCAGTCTAGTCATCTAAAATAACTATTTTAAATCCTGAAACTTCAGGATAGGATCCCAAATAAATGTGTTTTCAAAATGATAATTAAAACATACCTTCAGGGTCTGTCCTTGTAATCCATCCCACAAGGGAACTATGGCATGAAGCACGTACTTGCAGGCCAGAGCACATCCAGCGGTGCAGAGCACGCTCCCTTCATCAGGAAGCACGTTATTTCTATCTATTGCTTTGTCAAACTCTGCTTCAAGCTCTGGTCCAGCCTTTGCCAGCAAGGCTTTGCAAAGAGGGCCCCTGCCAAAGTTCAGATCTGTGCCAACACTGTTGACAACAACATCCGTCTGCAACAAAATTGCAACAAAAATATCTATAGCCAGACTTCAAGGAAATAGACACATCCACCAAAGCAAGGCACAGCAGGAAAAACAAGATGCCAACAGAGAAACAACCTGGGTTTCAGCACAGCTTCTGCATACCTAGTATTCCTGGACTTGTAGGAAACCTATAGTAGGCAGCATCAGACCCACTGTGGGTACCAACACCAGAGGTATCTACATGAGAGCAGGTACACGTTCCATCATCCATCCATCCATCATCCATCCATCCATCCATCACTGGCAAGCCCCCAGTGGAGGCAAGGCTGAGACTCACCTCACCCCAAACAGACACCAGTGTCCGGGCAGGTGAAATTAACCCAATGTAGAAAGTTTAAATGTCCCCTTTCCTCCTTTCCACTGAGGTGGGACTCTCTACACCTACATCAGAAAAGCAGGACCTCGTGCAGCAAAACGAGGTGAAGGGAGATGGCTGTGCTTTCATCAAGTAAAACAGGCAAAGCCCCAAAGCCTGTTGTTTGCTTTGCAGTTCCACTGGAGGTCTTTTAATTACAAAGTATTTTAAATATGCATCATATTGAGGGTTTTTTACATCCACTACTGCTCTTTTGTTGAAATAGGCTTTAACAGACAACAAAATAACAATGGAACCAACTAATATTGAAAATATAGGACAATAATAATAATAATAATATAGGGAGATTTTTAAACACCATAGGCAGAAAAATCAAGGGCAGTTGAACGAGAGGTGCACTTTGCATCACTGAACAAAAAAACATACAGGAAAGAAACTACATCAGAGGTGTAAATTGAGTTTTGATGGTCCAGATGAGTAGTGGTTAAACTCTTTGTTAGCAAAAAGAATGAAAAAACGCAAAACGGGACAAAAATAAGTAGAATCAGGTCTAGGCTTTGACAAAATGATCTAAGCACGCACCCTTCTACAGGGCTGCTTTTCTAGAGGCCAGTAACTTCTTCACAGACTGTGTCTTTAACCCATCCAAAGAGAACTGTAAGAAGTTAGCTGTATCCTCCCTGTTAGCATGACTCAAAACGGCAGGCCAGACAGGTGCTGGTTTCCTGTAATATCCAACCAGGATAGCTATAGATCATATAAATACTTTTAGAAGATATTAAAATATCTCCCTAAAAAAAAAAAAAACCAAACTGTTTTACACGTTGTCGATAGATTTGGAGAATGAATAAAGTCTATCTGGGAATGAAAGACCTCTAAATTCAAAGGTGCCCATTAGAAACAGCTGCAGAGTGAGAGATCCCAACCTGAAACCCAGCAGTTTTCCAAGCTTGCATCCTTGCTTAGGCACCACATAGCTCTTGTTTACTTATGTAGCAATTGCCTTGTAAAACAATATAACCTACTGTCTTTCCTTTTCTATTTGAATTTAAAGATGACATCAAGTTAGAGAGGAACCAGGAAATTAAAGACCTACCGTGGCCTCCTGAATGTTTTTCTTCTCCACTCGGATGAGCAGTCCTTCATTTGTCCTAAGTGTCTGCAGATCCTCTTTTCTCTTCTCCTGGCTCTGTCTCAGCTTACCATTTCCCACCCTTGGTGGTGGTGGTACTGAAGGTGATTTGGCTGTAAATGCTGTTTTTACTCTCTCACTCAGAGCCTGAACCATTTCTTCTGCGTCACCCACAAGGTGAACCTCCTTCAAGCTGGTGTCTCCCCTGGATTCTTCCAAGGTCTCCCTGATGGTAGATACAATCGAATACGTACACAGTTCCACTGGAAAGCCAAAAATCCCTCCACTTACAGCAGGCAGAGCTACGGAACGATGATTGTACATTCCGGCAAGTAGGAGGCTCATCTTCACCGTCTTTCTTAACAAGGACACACACTTTTCTTCTTCCTCTTTCCTCCACCTGGGCCCAACGGCATGAATGACGTTCTTGCAGGGGAGTTTCCCAGCGCCCATGATGACTGCACACCCCGGCTGCAAAGGCCCGTTCTTCCTCACCAGCTCATCACACTCCTCTTGTAGCTCTGGACCAGCCACCTTTAACAACGCGCTTGCAAGGCCACTGACGTGTTTTAAGTCTTCATTAGATGCATTTACCACGACATCGACAGGATAAGTGCTCAAGTCAGCTTTATACACTGCTACTACAACTCCATCTGGCAGCACTTTCTTGTAGTACAGCTTTCTTTTCTCTTTGTTATCAACTTTTTCATCCATCTGTTGTTGTTGTTCTTCTTCTTCTTCCAGCCTAATCAAACAGCTAAATTTCTGCTTTGCCTCAAATACACATGAATCTTCCCTCTCAGCAAAGAACTCCTTGGCCCCTGGTGTATTAACTGGCACGCTTTTTAAGTAAAGAGATGAGAGAATTTTTTCAAATGTGGCGACTGCTTTTGGCACTTCTGCTCTTGATCCACTCAGGGAAATACACGGTGTCTCAGTGTCAAAACATACTGTCACACCTTTCTTCCTCAATTCAAGATAAAGACTGGATTTTTCCTTCTCTACAAACTGCACTGCCAGCTGCGACTTAGCTGGGATTACTTTTTCCATGTGTGTGTTTCTGTCTATGAAATCATTAAGCTTCTGATAAACTTCTGTTACGGCCTTAGAAATGCCAGCAATAATCACTTTGTTGTCTTTTCCAACAGGGTCATCAATGACTACATTTTCCTGGGGAGAACTGTACTTCTTACGCAAGAAGGCAAGAAGACTACTCCACTGCTGCTTTTTAATGATCTCACCATCCTCCACCTGGATGCACTTATGTTGTAAACCTGTCTTTATTTGCTTTTCTGCTTCTAGAAGATCTTTGGCAGCATGTCCAAATAGCAACATAGTATCATCCTCAAGCTCATAAAAAGCATTAATTTTCTTCCTGGTGAATAATATCTCTGACATTGGTTTATTATCTACATGCTGTAGATAGTTGAAAACATAGCGATCAATAGGAACTGATGTGCATGGCATATTTAGTATCTTTTCCAGTAAGTCACCTTTGACTTTATATACTTCCACAGGTAATCCGCACAACTGAACAGCTTTTTTTGTGTCATCATAAAAGATCTTTAAGCACGGATATTCGTTGTGAATATTCTTTTCCAGCCCAGCATTGTTCAGAACAGTGTACTTCCCTGGGATGATGGACACGGAAATTTCTATGCTCTGTTTTTCCCTTTCACTTTGACTCGTGGGTATTTCCATGCATTTCCTCACTTCCTTCTCTGCACTGTCCACTGCTGCTCTGTTGCCCGCAATCACCACCATCTCCTCAGAAATATCAGTTATGGTCAAGGCAACATCCTTCACCAATCTGTTTCTCATATCTTTCCAGTGCACTGATTTTACTTTACATTTTATAGCTACGTAACGTGCCATGATACGCGAGAACTCAGCCAAAGCATCCTGCTTCCACGTCTTGATCAACTTAATCATTGCTTTTTTCTGCTCGGAGAGAGTTGATGATGGGCACAACGTAATTTCTGGGTTTGCACAGACTATCTGGGGCCATTTTAGCTCACAATGGCAAATTGCCATTTCCTGGTTTATGTCTTGCATCAGTTTAGCCTGCTTTTGTAAAAACTGCCAGACATAGGGATCCAGTGGCACCCCAATGGGGTCTGGCATCTTGAAAGCCGGTACGTCTTCTCCGTAGAGAGCTGTTCCCAGGGAGTGGTAATAGGGATGCACAGAAATTGGTTTCTGTTCCAGTAAATGCTGCTTTTCCAAGACAGTGCTTAGATCTAAAAGGTAGGACACGCACATACAAACACACATATACCATTAACTTTAAATCAAGCAAATGACTCTGCTAAAACTATTACATTGACTAATATAATTATTTTTTTTTCCATTTGAAAGAGCTATTTTTATGTCCCTCTGATTTCCAAATCACTGTGTAGGTAAGGGGACTTGGCTCCAACTACTGTAGTAAATATGCTTGTGCCTGTATTTATCTCCTACACCTTGCTCTCATTTCCTATGGAAACCCCACCACAGAGCAGGGCAATATCAACGTTCTACTATGAAATGCTCCTTGCTCTCAACTTAAACTTTTCTTTTTTTTTACCATTTCAGTTGGGGCGGACAAAAGAAAAGAATTATAATATTGGCGGGGACTTAAAAATCACGTTACAGTGATTCAAATTACATATTAACTTAATGTCACTGATTTTACTTTACATTTTATAGCTACGTAACGTGCCATGATACGCGAGAACTCAGCCAAAGCATCCTGCTTCCACGTCTTGATCAACTTAATCGCTGCTTTTTTCTGCTTGGAGAGAGTTGATGATGGGCACAACATAATTTCTGGGTTTGCACAGACTATCTGGGGCCATTTTAGCTCACAATGGCAAATTGCCATTTCCTGGTTTATGTCTTGCATCAGTTTAGCCTGCTTTTGTAAAAACTGCCAGACATAGGGATCCAGTGGCACCCCAATGGGGTCTGGCATCTTGAAAGCCGGTACGTCTTCTCCGTAGAGAGCTGTTCCCAGGGAGTGGTAATAGGGATGCACAGAAATTGGTTTCTGTTCCAGTAAATGCTGCTTTTCCAAGACAGTGCTTAGATCTAAAAGGTAGGACACGCACATACAAACACACATATACCATTAACTTTAAATCAAGCAAATGACTCTGCTAAAACTATTACATTGACTAATATAATTATTTTTTTTTCCATTTGAAAGAGCTATTTTTATGTCCCTCTGATTTCCAAATCACTGTGTAGGTAAGGGGACTTGGCTCCAACTACTGTAGTAAATATGCTTGTGCCTGTATTTATCTCCTACACCTTGCTCTCATTTCCTATGGAAACCCCACCACAGAGCAGGGCAATATCAACGTTCTACTATGAAATGCTCCTTGCTCTCAACTTAAACTTTTCTTTTTTTTTACCATTTCAGTTGGGGCGGACAAAAGAAAAGAATTATAATATTGGCGGGGACTTAAAAATCACGTTACAGTGATTCAAATTACATATTAACTTAATGTACAAAATACTCTTAAGCAAATTCTGAGAGTCAGAAGAAAAACAATCAACTGGCAGATAACTTTAATTAAAAGTAATGGAATTTACTAAGTCAGGAGTCTCCTGTGTCCCTCTGATTTCCAAATCACTGTGTAGGGGACAGACTAATATAATTATTTTTTTTTCCATTTGAAAGAGCTATTTTTATGTCCCTCTGATTTCCAAATCACTGTGTAGGTAAGGGGACTTGGCTCCAACTACTGTAGTAAATATGCTTGTGCCTGTATTTATCTCCTACACCTTGCTCTCATTTCCTATGGAAACCCCACCACAGAGCAGGGCAATATCGACGTTCTACTATGAAATGCTCCTTGCTCTCAACTTAAACTTTTCTTTTTTTTTTTACCATTTCAGTTGGGGCGGACAAAAGAAAGGAATTATAATATTGGCGGGGACTTAAAAATCACGTTACAGTGATTCAAATTACATATTAACTTAATGTACAAAATACTCTTAAGCAAATTCTGAGAGCCAGAAGAAAAACAATCACCTGGCAGATAACTTTAATTAAAAGTAAAGGAATTTACTAAGTCAGGAGTCTCCTAACTCAGATATAATTACTATGGGTTGTGCTGGGACAAAAATGGGACAGTGATTTAACACAGAATAGTAACGAGATTGTTCTTTAGCTCTATTCTTCCTGATAACCAAGATATCTGACCTTAATTAGTTTCTGAAAGTTAACTGTGCTAACTGAAGTTATTGACAGATCCTGCTTCCTCTACCTGTAAGTATAATTAATGTTGTATTGCAGATAAAAACCTCTGTAAGTGGTGAAAAAAGATCAGTGGGAGCAACCCATGCAGAAAACGGGTATTAAAATGAATCTTTAGTTGCATTAAGAAAAATCCTCAGAGAGACTCTGAAACAGTATTCCTAAATCCAGAGCACTTCCCAGGAACAGGACATTGCACCCTGGCTTTAGAGACAGTAAGCTTCTCCTAATGCCCAAATTTGCAGTGATTTTCTCTTAGGTGTACCACCTGGGAGCACTTTGGTCAGGCAAAAGACAGCATTACCTTTGTGATCACAGAAAGTAATGATGGCCGTGTTCTTCTCGGGGAAGAGCTGGACGTCTGACACAGGCCCCCCTCCGTTCTGTGGACTCTGAAAGTAAGCTGAGATGCAGTCTGTGGAAACACTGGCCGGTACGTTTTCAGCCCTGATGCTCCGGGTCAATTCAAGAAGCCTGGCAGTTATTTTCAATTCTTTAACTCTCTTGTTTTGTGAGCACTTCTTGACAAATTCTTCAGTATCTGTAAACAGAAGAACAGTGTGAACTGACCATGTTTTCCTGAGTCACTATCAGCCCTGGCAGAGAAAGGAGACAAGTTCACTTCTCCCTGTATTTGGAGCAAAACTCTCCTTGGTGCCAAATAACTGTGCATTGTCACAAAAAAGGGGAAGTGCACACAGCCATGTTACTCTCTGCTATTCACTGCCACTATATTATACCACTATCTCTGTTCCCCTCTTATTAATCTCTTGATGAACTTCTCACTGTTTCACTGTCTTCTCAAATGGAGACTTTATATACTTCAATAATTTGCAGAATTCATCTCCGCACTCAGTGCGCTTCTCATCGTTCTCCACCCAACCCAAAATCAGACAGAGACAACGAAACATTCTCATCCAACTTCAATTAATGAAGATGCCACAATGTTCTTTTTTTAGGGTAAGGTTTGGATCACAGGTGTTTTCATGGAGATGTATTTAAGACTTAAATCTTTCTTGAGAGACTACAGTCCAGGTACTTTTTAAAAAATGTCTGAATCTCTAAATGGGAGAGGAATCAAGCTCTGAAAGTTATTACACATACACACACGTGGAAATGAAGGTCAGTGTTCAGCCTGTCTTACCAATACTTTTTATAAAGGTAGCTACGGCAACATTTCTTTCAGGTATCACTTCCACAGTGAAGTCATCATCCACTGCCAGGCCGCTGATGCTCTCCAACAGCATACTTAAGCATTTTATGTTGCATCCTTGTATGTTTTCAAACACCACCGAAGGTGAGGTCTTCCTGGACCTTTCTGCAACGTTCTTCGCAGAGCCAGCTTCCTCCTGGAGCTTACTGGTCGGATCAAAACTCTCTGCTTCCTGCAAGGCTTCTGCATCATCTGCAACAGAAAGAGAAGTAAGCCACATGGCATATGGGTACACATTTCCTGGAATAAACAGATTTTACTTACCTTTTCTCTCTTTTCCTAAGAAAAGAGATCATCTAACCAAATACTGCAGGGATCCAAAACAGCCCAGATGCAACAGATCTGTCGGTCTGCAGGCAGTTTCTTTGGTAGCACAAAAACAGCCACAAGTAAACAAGTCCAAGGTCACTGTTAATGTCTCTGTGTCAGAGACATGAATAAAAAAAAAATCCAATGAGATAATTGGCCATGGCTGCTCAGGCATTTGTGAGAGATCCTGCAGCCTCTGCATCAGTTTCTTGGCCTGGGTGCAGGCGTAACAAGCCCAAACGTAGCTTGGGACATCCACAGGCACCATAGGCCACCAGTAGCTCTGTGGGACTCGATGCAAAGCCTCCTGATGACCACGGTGCTGAGCCATCCCCATGGCATGACAGCGCTGAAGGTCCCACGTGCACAGAAAGCTGGTACACGGATGCAACAACACTTCACAGATACAAAATATAGCAGGGGTTGCCCACCAAGTATCCCAGAAGTCCAGTGGCTGCCAGAGGAAGGCACATACATCTCCAGCTTTACAGACAGATGAGGGTAGAGGAGAGAGAGAACCTCCAAATGAGAGCGATGTGCTCCTCCACACGCCTGAGTAAACTGAAAGTGTCACCCAGGTGTGTGGTGACACAACTGTCCTATATGTCATGGAAAAAGGCAGTCACACAGCACTGCAGGGGATGGGCACAGGCCAAAGGGCACCCTAGGGTGGTCAAGATGGCCATTGCTCGCTATCAAAGGCAGCTCTTCAGTCCTTGCCCCAATGAACACGAGCAGGAGCATAAGCCCCTCTCAGTCTAGTAAACCAGCACATCCCTGCACCATGGCAGGAAGACAAGCACCCAGTGAAACCCTGGCATTCACCACCCTCAGTGGGGCCACCACCTCGGGCTGTAGCAGAGGACACATAAAACTGAGGGGAGAGGAGCTCAGTGGAGCAGTTGTACACCTGACCAGGGACGTGGGGGAAGTAAGGCCTCTTACTTGCTTTTGATCAAGGACACCCAAAAATCCCTAAATCCTAGGGTAGCATCCAACAGGCTGGCTGTGGAGGGGCAGCCCCAAGGAGAGAGACAGACATGGGGTGGGAAGGCTCAAGCAGCTGGCACCACAAACAGGGCAGCTCTGCCAGCTCGCTGGGTTTACAAGGTCTCCCAAGGTACAACAACTGATAACAAGCCCATAACGTCTTCAGAAGACAGCTGCTTTTGGAGGCCTACCAGCAGGAGCTCGACAAGAGGAAAACAAAAAGAAATAACCACAGAAGCAACAGCTCTACAGATGCTGGTTATTGATTTCTACATCACTAACAGGAATTATCTGCTCCACTAAGTCCAACAAAGAAAGCACAAAAAAGTACAAAAAAGGCCAAAACCGAGAGCTAGGCTGACCCAACAAAGCGATTAAGAGCAGCATCTAGAGACTTTCAGGGTCCTTTCTAGTATAACCCAAAAAATAGCAGATAACAACTTTGAGTGCCTAACTTTGAAAAGGAGGAAATCTACCCAAAACAGCACCGAACAAGACTTCATACAGAAAGGAAAAGATAGGGGGTTAATTATTGAAGAAATTCCTGATTAATTGGTCTGTCCCGGGGCTGACTATTTACTCTTCACAGATGCGGGTACATTTGGGTGTGCAGTACTGTTTTCTAGACTGCTTTCTGAATCCTAAAGCTTAGCAGAATATTACAGAGAGAGGACCTAACCGAGGTCCCCGAGGTGCTGGGGAGATGCACCACTTGCCTTTACAGACTCTCCTCACTGCAGGGAGCACAAAGACACCAGGTCTGGGCTTGAGACCTTCAATGTAGGTGTTTCTACGTAGATCTTATCTTGGTTCCCTTTTCCTGCGTAACTGCTCTAAATCCCTCTCTGGAGATGCTCCTCTCCAGATTTTTACCATTTTTAATGCTATTTTAGAAGCTAAAACCAGGCACGTGGTCTAAGTCTGGCACAGTGAACTCCATCCTTGGTGATAGAGTCTGCAGTGTCCCTGGCCAGACTTCCTTCCCTGTCTCACCGGAGTCAGCCTGCCAAACTTGGAAACTGTCAGCACAACTCCCCACAGAACTGGAGCTGGGTCTGGAGAAGTCACCAACACTTTCATTTCATGAAGAATCAGTACACAGAGTGATGGATAACATTTTACCTTTTGTTGGAAGGCTGCCCATGGAATCCAAAGCCTAAAATGAAATGAAAGCAAAATATCAGTGACTGATTTGACGCTCTCACCACTATTTCAAAGCTCTGGTTAGGATTACAATTTTTATTCACCTTTGTGGGAACTAATTTTTCTCCAAGTGCCACTGCTTTTTCAGGCTCTGAGACAGTAAACTTCAACACTCCTCTTTCTCCCAAATACAGCTGATGAGACTGTCTCTCAAGAACTTGTTGCTTCACTAAATAAAAAAAACAAACAAAAATCAAGAACTTGTTGCTTCACTAAATAAAAAAACAAACAAAAAAAAAACCAACCCAGTAACAATCCAAATAGAAATATAACTTCAAATTATGTAGCACTTTCCACCATTACATTAGAACGCATATCTTGTCCCACAAAACAAGCTTTAAACTCGTAACACCAACACGGCACGCACAAGACTTTCCTCCTGAAAAGAAATGAAAGAGCAGCAGAAGACATTATTTCTGCAAAAACACCACCAGAGATGCAAAGCTCAGCTCCACCACACACTTCATGGCTGGTTGCTGGTAGGCAGACCTGTGCCAGGGCTGCAGCACCAGGGTCCCAGAACTGGCCCCACACCTTGCACACCCTCTTCTAGCCAGCGTCAAAAAAAATAATGGTTTGGGGCTGCATGTCCTGAACTTACCAGCTGGTTGAGTCAGCAACTGGGAAGCATGACAGGGCAGGAAAAAAAAAGAAAAAGTGTGTGTGTGTATATATATATATATGGTTTTATGCACATACATATATATGCATACATTTAACACAACTGCAGCTAAACGCTTTCCACCTTGCTGCAACTTTATAAAAATACATGCACATTACATACATCGTCTTTTTAATATATATATGTATCTACAATATGTATTAAGCTATATTAACATAAGCTTCATTATTAATTATTATTAAAGGGGACCTAAAGGAAAGATGGGAAGGGACTCTTTATGAGGGATTGTAGCAGTAGGATGAGAGGCAACAGTTTTACACTGAAAGAGGGGAAATTTAGATGAAATATTAGGAAGAAACTCTTTCCTGTGAGGGTGGTGAGACACTGGAACAGGCTGGCTAGAGAAGCTGTGGATGCCCCATCCCCGGAGGGGTTCAAGGCCAGGCTGGATGGGGCTTTGAGCAACCTGGTCTGGTGGGAGATGTCCCTGCCCAGGGCAGGGGGGTCGGAACTCGATGATCTTTGAGGTCCCTTCCAACCTGAACCATTCTGAGTCTATCTCGAGGGCAATTCATAGAATATTACTGTTCATCAAAATTAACATACACCCGGTAGGGTGTATTTACTAACTTACAGCCTTAAGTTGTTCAAAACGCAATCTAGAGGCTCGCACTCAGCACCCGATTTAAGCATATACATATAAGCAAATACATATTATACATTCTATATTGCCCATTACGAGATGTATATGACATATTATGCACTATAGATGTGTACGTTACATGCTAGACCATACGTATCGCATCACATGCGATAATTAAGCCAGTATATATATATTATTATTATTTTTTAACCTCTCTGGAGGCTGCGGTGGGGAGTTACCGACCCCCCCGCCCTCACCCCCACAGGCGGCCCATGCGGCGGCCCCTTCCCCGGCCCCCCCGCCCGGGGGCAGGCGGGCAGCCCCGGGTCCGCCCCGGACCCCGCCGGTCCCCTGACCCCAGCCCGGCCGCTCACCCTCGGGCTGGGCGAAGCAGACGAGGAGCTCCCCGGCGGTGGCGGCGTCCCTCAGCTCGCACTCGCCGCCCCCCGAGCGCCGCTGGCTCTTGAAGTAGCAGAGCAGCTTCTTCCTCAGGGCGGCCGAGGGCCCGGCGGCGCCCCAGTCGCCGCGCACCACCAGCGGGAAACAGCCCTGCCCCGGGCTCGCCATGGTGGGCCCCGGCTCCTCTCAGCGCCGACTTTCGTTTCCGTTTGGCGGCGGGGCCCACCTTCCCGCCCCGCTCCGCTCCGCCCCACCGCCTTCCCCCTCAAGCAGGGTTCAGCGAGGCGGGCGCCGCGCCGCGCCGCGCCGGGAAGGGCCGCCCCCCCGTCGCCACACACCCGCTCTCGGCCGGCTTCTTCCCGGGCCCGGCCTCACACCTGCGGCTCCTCTCTCCGCCGCGACCTCCTAAAATACCCAAACCTGCCTCAGGCGCTTGGAAAATGTCCCCTCCCTCCCTTCCTCTGCTGGGACGAGGGAGGAGGTTCCCCTGGCGCTCCTCCGCCTCCCCCCGGCCTGGAGGCGACGATAAACCGGTTGGGAGAAGCAGTGGCTTCTACTTGCCAACCTGCACAAAACCCAGTGCTGCTTTGGGCTGGATTGGCCACCAGTCGAACCCCAGGTGCTACTGGCTTCTGTTGACTTCTATTGACTTCTACTGACTTCTCCTTCCCAGGAGGGGAAGAGAGAGAGATTTATGGGTTGAAAACAAAACCCCAACCCTAAACCAGCTATAATGAAATGTTAACATAAAAAGAAAAGATAACAGTAATAATAAGGAAACAATGAAATATATACAAAACCAGTATCGGGCTCCCAGGGTGATGATCCACGTCAGCCGTCAGCGCTGGAACCGGACCCCGGAACGCGTGGGAAGTGGATTCCAGATCTGGATTCAGGAACACACGGATGGGGATCAAAGGCGGAATGACCAGAGTCCTCCTTGGACACCAGCCATTAAAGAAAAGACTTGACCCCCTTTGATCCCTCAGCTTTATAGGGAGCACGACGCAGATGGGATGGATCACCCCGTTGGTCAGTTTTGGGTCACCTGTCCTGTGCGCTCCTCCCTGCAAGTGCGACCCCACTACGTTCCTCCAGCCTGGCGCTTCATGAAGTCGTCTGACCTTGGTTGTTATAGCAATAAGTCTAAGCAGGAGCCTCTCTGCGTGCCATTCCTTGGCAGTCACCATAAACATCAGAGGTTATCACTGCTAGAAGCACTCTCTGAAAAACACGCCATTAATTTCAGAGACTGCAGTCAGTTAGGAAAGACTTAAGTGAAAAGTAAAATAACTGAAAAGTAAAATTACTAAAAAGTGGTTTTGTTCTGTCTCATACCAGGACACCCGGGCTTGATGCCCTAGGCACCTGTAATGCAAGTACTGGTGAAAAACACCTTGATGTTCTCCACAGCTTCTTGTGGGGATGGAGGAGTCGAGAACAGATGGATTAGTGTTTCCTGGAGAGAAAGGTCAGAGTGACCCATCAGCTGCAGTGAAGCACCCTGAGCCATCAACCTCTGCCTCCTGTCATGTTGGTGAACTGGTGACCTAATGTGTTAAGGGAATCAATTAAGTTTATTTGTTTTAAAAGCAAAACTCAAGACTGTTGTCCCCCACGCCCATATCTTGATTTCAAGCACTAGGAATACACCAGTCAGCATTTTTCAGCAGTTAGAAAACTGATGTAATCAATAGCAAAAAAGCCCAAAGAAGTGTTTGCAGCACGAGTGAATGAATAGCCTGATGCTTTGGGCTCCACTGAGGTACTTGGAGGTTCACGTTATTTCACACCATCTTCCCTAGAAAACATGTCCCTCAGCAGTGTTTGCCCAGCGACCATTATGGCTTATATGAACACACCAACCCACAGGAAAACTTTAAAGTAATAGCAACCTAACTAACTACATAAAACAAGTATTAGAAGATTTTCTCTTAATCATCCAACCAAATATGAAGTCAAACCTGATACACTTGCAGGAGTAAAGGGCTTTTAGAATTTGGAGATGTTGCATCACTCTGCTTTGTCAGTAGAAGATCTTACGATATCTAAGGCTGAGAAGGGCATATGTTTTTGTTCTATTAACATGCTACAAGGATGCTGCTGCTGCTTTACTTCCCCCTCCAACATGGAACTCCGAACTTGAGCTTGTTAATGATCACCCCTTTGAGATAACCCATTCACTTTAAGCCTCAGCACCTCATCACCCCTGCCCTGACCAACTCCTCTACACTTTGCTCTATTAATTTTGCATTAAGATCACAGGAAGGTTGCTAGAACTGGTATATGGCAACAGAAACACCTTTTCTGTCTCTCTTAAGCAATATATAAGTAACCCATGTAACTTCTATAACCTTCTGTAGAACCTCTTACTACCTTACCAGGGAGGGTTATTCTATGAAAACCAAGCAAACCTATATTTGGGACGTCAAACTGAATGAAGTTCATTGGTTGAAAACCAACGTTAAACATTGGGGGAGGTTTAGACAAACACAAGCCATTAGCTACAATTAGTTTGTTTATTGAAAAGAGCACATGATGCAGAGTATCATTTTTTACAGAGTGTAAGAAGCCAGCAGAAACGCAGCACCAACCAGTCGGTGGCTGAAAGAGGATCCCTGCCAACCCCCAACCAGTCCTCCCTTCCGAGTGCCACGAGGATGGCCATGAGGCTGGAGGGAAAGGCTAATACAGTATAAAGGCTTGAACTGTAATCTAACAGCAGGTTTTGGTAGAATATTGCACTCAAGTGTTAAATGCGCTCACCTACGCTGAATGTAAACAAGCAGCCTATTTCAGTGCTATCAAAAATTGCCAGAGATTGCTTAAAAATAAACAACTTTAAGAATTTAATTTGATAAAACTATTTACTGTTTTCATCATGTATTTTGTTATAACTGTTTCTGTCCTTCACAAAGACTGAAAGACATGCAATCTTGGCTGCAATCAAAATGCTTATCTAGTGAAAGTGATAAGGTATTCAGGGTAAGCTTGAATGTCATTAAATATGATGAACATGGATGGCCGGTTCACGTTATCAGTTGAACTATCAAACAGCTCTATAGAGTTACTAGAGTTTTTTACTGCTGGAGTAATTGCTCCTTGTGTCCCCTGGGAATATTCTCCAACAAGGACTCGAGCCAAGTACATATACTTCTTCCCATCCACATCTGGTTTAGAGTAGATGTCGTTGGCAGAATAGCTGGCGTTAACAGCAAAGTACGTTCCATTTCCATAGGCTGCAGCTGTAATCAGAAAAACAAGTGATTTTGTGAGCGTTTCAGTAGCAGCAATCACTTATCTGCCATCTTCAGAGCCTGCAACTCTCTTGACAATTTTGTTTATTTGCAATAAGGGAGATTTAAGAAAACACATAAATTTTGCATACTATAGGCAGGACTATACGGAAGGCATGGCAAATCACTCCTACCCCTAGTCAGGAAAACAAGAGTTATCTTGAAATACACATTACCATGCACTCCAGCATAGCTCCGGTCAAATCCACGGTTGTTAATTAAGGTTAACGACTCCTTATTTGTCCCATGAAACAGAAGCCTCTCATTGTTTGTGTTGCCATTTTTGTGATCCATTTGACGCTTTTTTATTTGGTAGGTCTTCCAAAAAAATGGGTTCTGTATCCTTTCAATCTGCACAGTTGGAAAGTAAGACACATTGATTTCCTTTAGCTCGCTGTTATCAAAACAGTAGCGTATCAAGCATTCAATCTGCTTCCCAGATTCTCCTCCTAGCTCCAATGCATGTATACCAGGTTATGAAATAAGTTCATCAAAGGACTCCAGACTTTGGCATGAGGGACAGCAGAACCCAACCAAAAAAGTGACACAAACACTCCATAGGAAAAATTACAGGACAGTTTTGCAGGTTTCTGGGACACAGATGACATGCCTACCTGTATAGCACGCATGGCTTAAGCGAGTCAATGCTGTGCACTACTCAAAAACAATTTCAAGAAAGAGCACTCTCCCTGACGCTGAAGAAGCAACTGTTGAAGAGTCATTCCAAATACCTCAACAGCAATGTTAAACTGGTGCTGACTACAGTTACGGATAGTCATAAAGACTTGGCCAACTTCAGAAATCCCAGTGGAATTTATTTTTCTGTGTTAGTATTCTTCATCACTTATTATCAAAGTATTTATGCTCAGAAACAACAACACGCTTTTACCTTTACAATTTTTAGTGACGAACAGGTCTCCATAAACTTTTTCTGCACATCTTTGTATTCTCTCGTTTCTGGTTTTAGTTCCACTATCTTGAGTAGCTGGTTTTGCATATCGTCCCACGTTGCAGGGAGAACTGTTGACTCTTGATCTTCAGAAGAAACAGGATCAATCGTATTTATCCATATTTACTCTGCTTACAATGAAATATGCCCTGCTCCAAAGCCTTCTAAAAGACCACACCACCTATACACCTCGCTCATCACTCGTGCCTACTAGCCTTGGTCAGCCAAGAGCGTTCTATGGGTCTTTTACCAGAAGATTAGGGTGTTGTAGTTTCCAGCTTGGCACTGCTCTGGAAACTAATGTGCCAGGATTGGTAGGCAAATCTGTTCTTCACAGCTGAAGAGGGATCCTTTGCAACATCCTTTACTAGTGGCCTTCCCTGCAAATGAGGTTTTCAAGGACATGGAGCAAATACCAATTTACTGAGTAGTTAACTCCATCAACTAGGAGACTAGGAGCAAAGCATCCGAACGAGGGAAGCTTTAAATTAAGAAGTTAAAGAATATACTCTCCCTCTGGAAAGCTGAGGTATTCCTTTTCTTGATTTCACGTGAGGCCTAGTATCGAGCTGTACTGCCAAACAGTAACACTGACTGATGCATATGCTACAGACATCCCAATTGAGGGAACCTATAATGCTGAAGTGGCATCTTTTGGTAAGAGAACAAAAATATAAAAATCTGAAAATATGCGCAGGAGGCATTACTAAGGCACTGGGAGCTGCACAGTTCCACTTTCAAGTGTTAGGGGGACAAAAGAGATGCTCCCGGTAAGATATAAAATGTGCCCCTGTAAAAGCGAGTCACCGGAGGACAAAGAAGAATAATACACTGGGAAAAGTCCCATATGATGAGTAAGAAAAAGGTGGCTCCTTGTATTGTGAGGGACCAGAAATAAACAGAGGAGGGTACATATCAAGAACAGAAATTAGCTGAGATCTAGAATGACAACTGCTACAAACATCCAATTATTGCTAGTGAGCCTGTTAAGAACCTCACAACACAATACCTACTTTTCCAACTATTTTAAATAACTGCAGGATTCTTTCATTTTCATTTCCCAATTCAGTTCTTTTCCATATTCTCCCGAAATGGACCTGCACAAACCTCCTAACAGTATTTCGCATACTCTTACCATTTCTTACTCTGACTAAAATCGCGTTCACCCAGCCTAATGTGGGAACATCAGTCTGTCAAGATACTTTTACTTACCTTCAGATTTATCAACACGTGTAACGAGTACACTGTTTCCTTGGTCATCCACAGCACATCTATCCTTTAAATTCACTGTGTATTTATTCCCATCAATGACGACTGAAATGTCTTCCTCCTTTCTTTTGAAAGCATCTTCCAAGCGCATATTTGTGAGACTATCAAAGGGCATATAGGAATCCTTTCCAAAATATTTCCACTCAATTAAGCCTTGTAAAAGTCCTGCCCTCATCTCGTCCTGTTTAGCAGCTTTGACCCTGTGAATCATTGCCTGAATATCTGAATAAGCAATCCAGACATCTTGCCCAATACCTGAAATTTGAACAGAGTTACCATCCAAAGAAAGAGCAATTCTATATTTCTTTTGTAGGCCACACAGTTCCTCAATCTCAGCGTCACCAAAAAGAGAGATAAACTCATCTGTGATGTCTCTTTGAAACTGTTCCTTCAAAATCGCATTTTTCAACCAGTATTCAGCTTCTTCCACTTTCTTTTTGTTTTCACCACAGATCTGCACAACAGCCACGTCAATTTTCTTCTCCAAAACCCGTTTGCTTTTTACCTTTGGGGAAGGTTTCTCGGGGCTCCAGAGTGCTACATGGAAATACACAAATGTTGTAATTAATGTAAACCATTACCAGCTGGTGCCAAACAGATTTATCTATAACCTGTATTTCATAGAATCATAGAATGGTTAGAGTTGGAAGGGACCTTAAAGATCGAGTTCCAACCCCCCTGCCCTGGGCAGGGACACCTCCCACTAGACCAGGCTGCTCAAAGCCCCATCCAGTCTGGCCTTGAACACTTTCAGGGATGGGGTACGTATTTAAGTGACATCTACTTACACTTCAACTTGGAAATGAATGATGTGGATGCTGGTCTAGCAGGCCTTTCTCTTTTCTGCATGCTTTTATGGAACACACTCATCAGATGCGGCTGAAAGATGACAACTTTAATAGTTTTCACAGATGGAGCAGAGTTATTCCTTGCAAAGTCAGTTACTGCATCTATCATGTCGTCAGCTACCTCAGCTGGATCACGGCCTGCCTCACCTGAAACAAGTTACAGATATTTTGCCTTTAAAAAGCATTAATAACTGTTACAAATGGTTAAAACATCTTTAAAAGAACAGTTATGAACATACCCACAATGACTTGGATCACAAACAAGTTGGAAATAACTTCAGGGAGGCAATTAGGAAAGGTTTCTATTTATAAGAAGGAGGCTCAAGACCACCTTTCCAGCAAGGAAAAAATGGAAGTTTATTTTTCTTGACATGGTGACTGATCAGGTTATGATGCAGATCATACAGCTTGGTTACCTAATAGGCCACAGGCCTGACGCTCAATGGCACAATAGCCAACTTCTTTGCTGAAAAAACTAGTCTAGTTTTATTCATGCAAGAGGTCCCTGCATCCGTGGGGCCCAGTTCTGGATTCTTCGACTCTAGGGATTTCTACTGATCAAACAGAAAACAAGAGAGGAAAAAGGAACAACCTGGCCTGTTTGACAGGTTGACATTCAACCCATATCAACGCTTCTTGTGCGGCTGCGAGCCAGAGTTGCATCATCTACCGAGTTCAGCAATAAAGTACCAGCTCCCTGCATATTCTTTGATGAGCTGCCCACACGTATCAGGCTGCTGTGACAGATATTTATGGTTCTCCAGGGAGTATAGACATACCTTCAAGTCCCTGTTAGCAGAAGTGTCAGGTCTAGAGCACTCTTTACATACTAGCTGACTGCAAGGAGTGAAGCTTTCTAGGTCTTCATAAGCTTCTAATAAGAGTTTTAAGCTCTTCAGTTTCTGAACATGTTTTCACCAAAGAATAAACCCTCCAGATAAATCAAACTCATCGTGTGAGCCCTGAGATCGGCAGAATTACATGCACTGAATCCATTTCAAAAGGGAGATGCAGACCTGTTCCAATTGCTGGGAAGGTGACAGAGGTGTACTTCTGTAATTCACACTCCTGAAGCACTGTGGTGACAAGAAACTTGATATCATCGTGGGCAACAAAATGAATTATATTTTTGCATGGCAGCTTTCCTGCTTGGGTGGTGATATAGCCCTTGTTCTGCTGCAAGGCTGAAACATTAAGTAGAACATAATCAACAATTATCACAACACAGATGTGTACTAATCCTTATTAGGACATAAATCATGACAAATATACCCCAGGATAAGCTTCAAGTCTCATTCCACAAACCGTGCAACCCCCTCCTCTCTCTATTTTCAGTTTCAAGGCACAAGGATCCATTTTATGTTTGTGAAATATTTGCCTCATTTGGCAAATAAACTTTGTGGGCCTTTATTTGTCAAGTTTGCTTTGTAGACTCAAAGAACTTCATGCAAACTAGTACTACACTCTGTCTTCACACACACACAAGCACACCATCCTCCTTCAGGTACCTAGCCTGAATCACCCTCTTGGTCTGCACACAGAGGTTTACCTCTTATCTCCTCTTCCAAGCTAACCTCCACACCAGCCTCTTTCCACTTCCCTTGTTTGGTGGGGTTTTAAACCATGTACTTGTCCATCCCTGCTCCCCATTCCTTGTATTTGCTATTCACTAGCCGAATTTGGTCTACAAATAAATGCCTCTTCTGAGGCAGGAACCCAGCTTCACTAGTTTTCCCCTCTTGGTCACACAGAGGATGCAGTAGTGGGTTGCTAGTTCAGCCAACAGCAAAGATGTATTTTCTTCCTCAGGCATGACAAAACGAGCAAACATTTCTGCCAACATCATCTCTTGCTCCTGGCTCTGTTCGATGTAGACTTGATTTGTTTTTATCATGGAAAGATTTATTGGAATAAAAGGATGCAATAAAGAATAGATTTAGTTCTTGACATATGCTTAGAAGCCCTCTTTTCTTGAAGATTTTTCTTTTCCTTCTCTCATTAGATGTTTACAAATATCATGTTAACTGATAAAGAACTGGCTGATATAACAGTGCAAAATACAGTGCAAACACAGTAGGCACTGAGAAACCATTTCAACAGATCCTCTGCCATGCATGAACACCTTCAGAGAGGAGGACAGAAGCGTTGTACCGTACCTAGTTGAGCACATTCATCTTCAACCGCTTTTCCAGCACCATTCAGAATTGCTTGAGAGACACCTTGAATGAGAAGAGGCAGACGAGTCCACTGTTACTACTGTTAATGCTATTAAAGTCCCATCTGAGGCAGAACCGTGTACCACATGGTATCTAGAATATCTCAACCCTGATAACAGTAAAGGTTATAGTTGAAAAGCACCGTTGCCTAAATTTTAGGATTATGCTTTTCAATTCGAAGTGATGTCTAAAGTACCTATCAAGTTTCACTGAGGTCAAAACCTCAGTGAGGTTTGTCCTCTCTAGTACAAGAGATGTTCTAGAAAAACATTCTATTAAAAAAATTTAAATTATTAGTTTCCCTTTCTGCAAGTGCTTTCAACATGCCATCCTGTAACATAGATTAACTAGGAAAAACAAAGTTGCAGACACTAACTAATTGAACCTTTGTATCCTAAGAAGCAAAACAGAAATCACACTTTGAGACAAAAGGGTTTGAAAGATTGAAAAGAATACTTCCTACTTTCCTTATCCAGTCCTTCCAGCCACACGTAATGCTTTCACACATAATACCAACTACAATACCTAATTTGAGGTTGAAGGTTTGGTTGGTTACGTTTACAATGACATCTGCATCTTCTTTGGTGATATCGCCTTTGGCCACCCGGAACACCACGGAGCCAATCGTCATCTCATGTACATCCTGTACCGGGGCTGAAGAGGTACCAGGGAGAGCTGCAGGAAAGAAACACAGACCCTGAGCAGAAGGGAATCATAGAATCATAGAATTGCCCAGGCCAGAAGGGACCTCCAAAGGTCATCTAGTCCGACCTCCCCGCAGTCAGCAGGGACACCCCCAACTAGACCAGGTTGCCCAGGGCCTCATCGAGCCTCTCCTTGAATATCTCCAGGGATGGGGCTTCAACCACCTCCCTGGGCAACCTGATTGTCTGCAGCCAGCTGTGTTGCTTTTCCAGGTGGTTAAAATCCCCCAGCAGGATGAGAGCCTGTGATTGTGATGCCTCCTCAAGCTGGAGTAAGAAGGCATCATTGACAGGCTCTGCCTGGTCAGGCGGCCTGTAGTAGACTCCTACCACAAGGCTCCCTTTGTTGTCCTAATTCCTACCCATAAACTTTCGACCTGGTCATGGCTACTCTTTAGCAACAACTCTTCACATTCTAGCTACTTCTTTACATAGAGAGCAACACCTCCACCCCTTCTTCCTCTCCTATCCCTTCTGAACAGCTTGTAGCCATCGATGGCCACACTCCAGTCATAGGAGTCCTCCCACCGAGTTCCCGTAATTGCTACTATGTCATAGCTTTCCTGTAGCAGGATAGCTTCCAGTTCCTCCTGGAGCAATGAGGTAAGAGATAAGGGGCTTGTTCACGGGTGCAACGCCTTCAGAGACCACAGTTTGCCTCCAGACTCAGCCCGTGAAGAGAGCTGCCTGCCACGTTCACTGAAAATCATTCTTTCCCATGGGAGTCTCTGATCCACCTTCACCTATTCCCACTGTTGCTATTCATGCCGAGACGGCAGGAAAAAAAAAAAAGTTTTGCTGCACACCTGGTATGCAGACAGTACTTTGTGACATTTTAATAAATAAGCCTTTGTGGAACTCCAAGGTAAGAGAGCAGCAAACTTTCCAAGTCCCACTCCCTTGCTCCTCTGTCTCGCCGAGTTTTCAGGCTGGTTCTCTACTGGACCTGTAGCAGGATAGCTTCCAGTTCCTCCTGGAGCAATGAGGTAAGAGATAAGGGGCTTGTTCACGGGTGCAACGCCTTCAGAGACCACAGTTTGCCTCCAGACTCAGCCCGTGAAGAGAGCTGCCTGCCACGTTCACTGAAAATCATTCTTTCCCATGGGAGTCTCTGATCCACCTTCACCTATTCCCACTGTTGCTATTCATGCCGAGACGGCAGGAAAAAAAAAAAAGTTTTGCTGCACACCTGGTATGCAGACAGTACTTTGTGACATTTTAATAAATAAGCCTTTGTGGAACTCCAAGGTAAGAGAGCAGCAAACTTTCCAAGTCCCACTCCCTTGCTCCTCTGTCTCGCCGAGTTTTCAGGCTGGTTCTCTACTGGACAACAGGAATTCTTTACCTACGGGCTGTTTGTAAAAACTTATTGAGTTTTCAACACGTAACTTATTTTCTATACTCTGCAGTTCCATTAGGCTGGATAATACCAAAGAGATTTCAGCTTGGTTTTTTTATTCATCTGAGCACGTAAAAGATTTAAGAGTATTCCAAAGAGGCCACTTTGAGATGTATAAGCAGGAATTCACCTGCCTTCCCAGGACATAGGAAGACAATCTCATCTGTTCATGATCTGCGAAGACAATCGGGGCCCATAACCCAGAGGTCGATGGATCGTAACCATCCTCTGCTAGCTCTCATTTGGGAGTTGGACTAGGTGATCTCTATGGTCCCTTCTAACTCTAAAAATTTAGTGAAATTCAGTGAAATCTAATCTGTTCACGATCTAATCAAGTACTGCAGCAATAAAAGGAAAAGCCCTGCTTGTGCCCTCAGCACTTGATAGCTCCTGCTGTCCTGATTTGTAGGGGCACCATCCAGATAATGAATCACAAGTACGTTTTGTTTTTTTTTTTTCACATTTCAGACATTACAGACACACCCTCAGCACTTGATAGCTCCTGCTGTCCTGATTTGTAGGGGCATCATCCAGATAATGAATCACAAGTACTTTTTTTTTTTTCTTCACATTTCAGACATTACAGACACTCAGCCTGAAAATACTATATGCTGCCTTTACAGCAGCCACTTTGACTGTTACTCGGACTTTGGGAATGACATGCTCACCAAAGAAATATCTGAACATCTATATTGAATTAATTCCCTAGAATATTAAAAAAAAATAATCCACTAGACACACAACTTCTGTGAAACAAGCTTACCTGTGCCTTCACTAGCCTTACTGGGAGAAGCGTTCTGTGCTTCAGCATCTACAGTATTTCCACTTCTCTTTTCCAGTTCATCTGAAAATTCCTAGAGAAGGAAATTACAATCAAGCCCTGTATATGTTTTTGGATTACAAAGCTTTGAAAAGTAAAGTTAGAAAACATTTAGAAAATGCTTAACGCAGATCACTTCTCTGCCATGATGCTGATGGCAAGTCTTGACGCGCTGTTGGTCTCAGAGAGCGAGGTGAGCAACAGGCAGAGCTGATAAATAACCAAGGCAAAGCCCTGGTTTCATTCCAGAGGGACACGCCAACAGATGGCCTCCTTACACTGAGGGCCTAGTTTACACCCCAACTCAAGTCTTGCAGCTAATGCCACCCTTCTCCATGCACAACAGCTCAGGCTTTGGGGCAGGAGCCTTCATTTTTGGCCCTTCAAAATGTATTAGCTGCTGCACAAGACAGCAGAAGTCAAAAGATGCAGGAACACTTATTTGGACATTAATTCACAGCGTGACTGCTCCCTTTAGAGAGATTCATGTGTGAAATGGAGTAAGTTGAGCATGGATATTTGTGCTAATGTGATACCGAAGGGATGCAGAATGCTAATATGTTTTCTAATGGAGAAGTTCACCAGCACAGCAATCCTAGTATAATTATTCTTCCTAAAAACACATTAGTCAAGTCCTACAATACTGAAGAATTAGGTGACATGAGACAAAAACCACTTACACTTTCATCTGTATTATTGCCAGGGAACAGAAAAGGACAGGAAGGGAACAGAGCTGTACAGGACAGGCAGGTGACCATGAGGGGCAGAACCAAAAAGAGAACTTTTAGTGCAGACAAGAGAGACTGTCAGCGAACTTCTTTTGTATACACTTATAAAAGAATCCAGCCCTGTGGACTCTCTGGGGATCATCAGATAGCCAAGTTATCATGAGACAGACCCAAATAAAACAGCATGTAATACAGACAGAAAAACATGGTAACTCACCTGAATATTAGCTGTGTCTTTCAGGTGCAACAGAAAGTGAACCTCCTCAAGTGAATTTACTTTATTTTTACTACTGAATTCTAACACTTTGTCAAACAGTAATTTAGCAACAACAGTCCTTGGGAATCCTAAATTCCCTGTCCCAATCGCTGGGAAAGTAATTGACTTTAAAGACAGATCCTCAGCCATCTGCAGGCATTTTGTGATGACGCAGCCCAAGACCTGTAAAGCACAATTATTTTTTTCAATTACTGCAAATAATTTTTTCGAGTATATGCAACATAAATCTTTCCCTTTTACCTATCTCTTGGTATTAAAATACAATAATTGCATACATCACAAGGAATATATTAGTCAACAAGGGATTCACCACACAGCTAAAAACGAACAGCCCAAACTCTCTCATCACCTACGAAACTGTCCCTCATTTCAAAGGAGAAGTTGCGTTAAAGCCATTATCAAGCCCAGACAAATTAGAGTTCAGGCAAACATAAACCCTTATACCTGTGAAGATGTCTGGGACCACGCAGGTATGACAGTGTGAAGCACAACACTGCAACCCAGATTGTATCCTTCTGTTTTCAACACAGAGCCTTCCTGGGCTGGTTTTCGTTGGCCTTCTTCGTTCAAGCCCGTCTGAAGCATTGGCCCTGCCTTGCTTAGCAAAGCTTTAGCGAGCGGCCCTTTATCAAGCTGGAGATCTCTGGGCACACTATTGACAACAGCATCCGTCTGAAAAACACACAAGCAAAAACTCTAGCTTTTAAGTATCAAATTGAATTTTTGCATCAATTCATCAAATACAGCCTGCCTGCTGATTTACAAACTAAATTTTTGGGACAGCAATCTGAGAGTGAACAAAGTTTTAGAATAAACTGGAAGTTATGCTCAATTCTAAAACCACGAGCCTGCCCAAAGATACATAAAAGCTGAGTTAAGGGTGAAATGAATTTCAGCTCGGTGGGAGAAAGTTAAAATTCCACATGCCTAGTCTAGTCATTCTACCTCCATTTGAAAAATGTTTATGCAAGGTCATTCTTCAAGAGAAGCTCACAGACCCAAAAAAATCTGTGTTTGCTCAGGTAAGCAGGACCTTCGATGCGTGGTCCATCTAGAGAAAAAGGAGATGCTGAAAACAAACAAGACTGAAGGAAAGCTAAGGAGGAAGAAGTAAGAAAATCAGTAACTTACAAGGGAGGGAAACACAAACAGCTACGAATGTCGTGTCAAGCACTAAATTCAGCTCTTCAGGAAGGACCTCTCTATACATTTTAATGTGTGCTCTGCCCCAGCCAACTGGAGGAGCTGCAGGCACAAGCTGTGGGAGGCATCCACTCCTGAAAGGATTTGCCAACCATTATGGAAAGTGTTCTGAAAGGAGTTGCTTCCAGTATCGGTAATCTCTGTACAGAAGCTATCAGCCAGCTAACAGCAGTGCAATTCTGGAGGCAACTAGAAATCGATTAGTGAGGTTGGTTCTCTGCAGGAAATGCAACAGGAACTGCACATGTCAAGCCAGTGGTCACCAGTGACATAACTGATAACAGTTCTCCAGATCAATATCCAGCAGAAGCAGGGAGAACAGGGCTCGGACGTGCGTGGCTGTACTGCCTCAGCACGGTAGGGTCAGGGGGGGTTTGGAGTCCAGAACCATTCCTGCTGATGGCAGCTCCATTCCTGCTGATGCCAGCTCCTTCTGCTAAACTGCAATGTACCATGTACCACAGGGATCTGTGTGCCTCTGTGTTAGTAGATGACAAAATGCAACACTACGCAGCTGCCTGTATCTACCACATAAGACAGCCATCTAACAGCAATTCTTATTATCAGCAGTGATAGCCAATTTCAGTAACATATCAAACATGTTACATTGCTAATTACAAATGATGGTCTAAGGTTGGTCAGTTTTCGCTTTTGCATTTATTAAAAAAAAAACAAACAAACACACAAAAAACAAACAACAAAACTAAACAAAACCCCACTGATATTTTAAAAGGAAATAATTTAAAACACTTACTGTAGCATCTTCAATGCTTCCTTTTTTCAGTATGATCTTAAGGCCTTCCTCAGTTGTTAACAATGAGAGGTTCTTGGTCTTTGGAATAGTTTTTCTTTTCCTAGGCTGAGGAACTGTACTGGTCTGAGGCAGTGAACTGGAGGAAGGCAAATCATTTGCAAACACTTCTGTCAGTGCCTTGCAGAAAGCCTGAATGTTACTATGTACGACATCCACAAGGTGAACCTCCTTCAAGCTGGTGTCTCCCCTGGATTCTTCCAAGGTCTCCCTGATGGTAGATACAATCGAATACGTACACAGTTCCACTGGAAAGCCCAAACTCCCTCGACCTAAAGCAGGCAGAGCTATGGAACGATGATTACGTGTTTCAGCTAGTTGTAGGCTCTTCTTCACTGCCTTTCTTAACAAGAACACACACTTTTCTGCTTCCCCCTTCCTCCACCTGGGCCCAACGACATGAATGACGTTCTTGCAGGGGAGTTTCCCAGCGCCCATGATGACTGCACACCCCGGCTGCAAAGGCCCGTTCTTCCTCACCAGCTCATCACACTCCTCTTGTAGCTCTGGACCAGCCACCTTTAACAACGCGCTTGCAAGGCCACTGACGTGTTTTAAGTCTTCATTAGATGCATTTACCACGACATCGACAGGATAAGTGCTCAAGTCAGCTTTATACACTGCTATGACAACTCCACCTGTGGTCACCTGTCCATAGGGCTTGCTTGTATTACTATGTTCTTGCTCTTCTTCCAGCTGTTCTTCTGGCTGCTCTTCCAGCCTGACTAGACACTTAAACTCTTGTTTGGCAGTGGCAGCAAAAAAGGGTTCTCGCTCTTTGAAATATGGCTTGGCTCCTGGCTCATTAATTAGCACACGCTTCCAATGCAGGCCGGACAGAATTTGCTCAACTAAGGTGGCTCCCTTCATCACTTCTCTTCTCATCCCACTCAAGGATACAACTCTACGTTTATTCTGCGTGCTAAATTCAACTTTCACACCTTTATTCTGCAAGTCACCCCAAATACTGCTCTTCTCTTTCTCAAAAAACATCATGACCACCGTGGGCCTTCCTCTGATGACCTTTTGTACATGTGTGTTTTCGTCTATAAAGTTGGAAAGTTCCTCAAAGGCTTTTGCTACTGCTTGAGAACAACCAGCAATGATGACCTGGTTCTCTACGTGACTGACTGTTACAGCTTCATTAGTGCAGTTTTCCTTGGTGAGCATACTCCATTCCTTCTTCTGGAGGACTGACTCATCCTCCAAAGTAATGCTTTTGTAGTCCAGTTCTTTCTTTATTTCTTCTTCTGCCTTTCGGAGATCTTCAGGAGTACTCCCTTCCAAGATGATAGCTTCTGCGTTAAGCTCATAAAAGGCACTAATTTGTTTTGACATAAACAGGCTCTGTGACAGGGTTTCATTATCAATATGCTCTAAAAACTTGAAAATATGTGGGTGGATACTAACCGTTTTCTTTGCCATTTTGCGTATATTGTCTAATATTTCCCCTTTTGCTTTATAAACTTCCTCAGGCATTCCACATAAGTTAATTATCTTCTGCAAATGATCATAAGTTATCTGCAGGGCCGGGAACTCCGTACAAATTTTTTCTTCAAGACCAGTACTCTGCACAATTGCATATTCCCCTGGACTCATTACCACTATTTCTTCAGTTCTTTGCTTTTCTCTTTCAATTTTTCTGGTGGCCTTTTCTATCAGAACCTTCAGTTCTTTTTCAGCACTCTTCACAACAACTTCTTCACCCACTAGAACAAGCAAATTCTTGGAAATACATGGGATTATCATAACTTCATCATGGGTATAGCTGTTTCTAATGGCTTCCCACACCTCTGCGCTTACTCGACATTGAATTGCTTTGTACTTTGATATGCTACGTGAAAATGCTGCAGAAACACTTTCATTCCACGTCTTGATCAATTGAAATACTGATCTCTTCTGCTCAGACAAAGCAGCTGAAGGATGCAGAGTAACTTTGGGGTTTACACACTGGGGTTCAGGCCACGTTAGGACACAATTACACTTTGCCATTTCACAACTTATTGCCTTAGTTAGACTATTATTTGTCTGCAAATATTTCCAGATATACTGATCCAGAGGCACTGTAATTGGATCTGGCTTCTTTACTTGTGGCCCTTCCTTTCCATATAGTGCTATCCCCAGCGAGATGTAGTAAGGATAGACAGAGATTGGTGTTTTGTTGAGCAAATGCTGCTTTGCCAAGATCTTGGTTACATCTGAAATGAACAAACAAAAACCCAAACAATTAAAGCTAGCACTTAAAACCAAAGATATTCAGGTTGTGTTGTGGTGTTTGTTTTTTTTTTTAATTTTGTTTGCTACATCATGTTTGTTATGTCTAAGAATAGTTTTACATTAGCTTTCCCTCCTTCCCAGATCAAAATAATTCCAAATTATTGGAGAGTTACTGGTTTATAAATGCCAAAAACTAAGTCAGAGAAAGACAGTGAAGAACCGACACTATCCACCCTCCAGAGGAGGAGCACAGCCTCTGCCCCCACTTGTGTCACATGCTGTACTTGAAGTGCCCAACTCAGCAGCTGTCTGGGCTGTTGATCAGCTGTATCAAACCACAGCTCCTCCCTTTCCGCTCAAAAGAGCATCTGTTTTCTTCAACATCCCTTAAGCTCTACCCTTCATTGCAATGCCTCCAGCTTCCCCTTTGTCCTTTGCCTTCCACAGACACTCGTACAATCTTAGAATCATCTAGGTTGGAAGGGACCTTTAAGATCATCTAGTCCAACCATCAACCTAACCCTGATAAAAAAGAACCCATCACTAAACCATGTCACTAAGCACTATGTCAATCCGTCTAAAATTAAAATACCTCCAGGGATGGTGCCTCAACCACTTCCCTGGGCAGCCCATTCCCATGATTAATAACCCTTTCAGTGTAAAAAAAAAATCAGTGGAAGTTTCTCAGAGAAATAAAGGCTTCATATTTCTGTATTACCTTTATGGTCACTGAATGTAATGATAGCTGCATCTTCATCAGGCAGCTGCTGAACATCCACCACTTGTGCACCTCCATTCTTCTTGTTTTCAAAGTAGACAGTTATATAGTCAGTGGCTGTGTTCGGTGGTATATTTTCAGCCCTAACACTTCTTGTTAACTCAAGGCACCGGGCAGTAATATTTTGTTGCTTTGCTCTGTGGTTTTGGTTAAGCTTTCTAGCAAATTCCCCTGCAGCTAGAAAGAGAAGACAGAATAAAAAAAGAAGAAAAAAAAAAAAAAAAAAAAAAAAAAAAAGCCATTACACTCAATTACGATACATGATTCGGGTTTAATATTTTTCCTAGAACTTTTTTTTTTTTTTTTTTTTTTTTTTTTTTTTTTTTTTTTTTTTTTTTTTAAAAAAAAAAAAAAAAAAAAAAAAAAAAAAAAAAAAAAGAAAAAAATTCAAAACCAAATGAGCAGCTCACTTTTCTACTATGTAAGCAGGCTATTGTTGTGTGCGCTGACCAAAGCACTGAATTACAGAGCACATATCAACTTGAAAGTGCCCCTCTTTTCACATATTCAGGATTTGTCACCTAATATTCACCGCACAGTTGGTCACAATTCTTGACCACAACTATCATAGCCAGAATTTGTCACCAGTTTTCCTACTAAGTAGCACTGGGTCTCTGTAACTCCAAAAAAAAAAAAAAAGAGGATTGAGTTCATTTTTGGGCTATGGCTTTATACACAACTAATCAGGCATAAGTCAACAGTTCAAACTTGGATTCTTTCAGTTTTATGATAAACACGTTCTATTTTTGGCTATGTTTTCCCCCGTTATCACCACAGTAAGAGATAGTCAAGTCACTTTTACATATCAGGCAAACACAGAATTAAGTTTTTAAAGGATCTACTTATTTCCTAGAGGCTACAACAAAAATTTGGGACCGGACCATGATACGAGAGGCATGTAATTTCACACTTCCAAAGCAGAAAACCCTATGCCTTTTCAGAGACTAAAAACTTCTTTGGTTTAGTTACACCATGGACTAATCCCTTCACAACTTTAAGATTTCTGAGTGCTTTACTTTTATGTAGGACCAGTAATACAACTATTCCCACAAAGTTGATTCAAAGTAGTATATACCTGGTTTTCACCACGTTCTACCTTCCAAAGAGATTTACAATTTTTCCACACAGAAGACAGAATTCCCTCAGCTTTCCTGTCCCACCTCCTTGGCCAGATTCAAGCATATGTAAAATCACCTTGTCCCTAGAAGGACTCAAGTGCAGCAGCATCCAAAGAATCCTGGAACCAGTGCAGCTCTCCTGGCAATGCAGCGCTGTTATCCCTACAACAGCCATGGCATTGGCTTACACTGATTTTGAACCTGCTCTTGTCACACCACTTAATGTTGCCCATGGCCTGGGATGGAATTTGTTAACAATATCAACCATACATCTTGGCAGGAACCAGGAAGCTTCCCCCCAGCCTCTCAGTGGTGAGAAGTAGGAGCTGATAGCTCTCTGCCACCTGGAAGATGCCTTTGTCATCAATCACTAACAAGGCAGAATAGAAAGCACTAAAAAAACCCCACAGTGGGCACGCAGGAGCTTAACAACTAGTTGGTACTGCAGCATCAAGCAAGGTACAGGGTGTTAATTCCACACTCCACATAACTGACAGCTGCCACTCCGATGGCTGGACTTGCCTCAGCATCCCAGGGTCCGTCCAGCCTGGCACCCTGTCTCCAGCAAAGGCCACAGCTGATGTCTAGAGATCAGCTGTAAGAAGATGCTCTCACTAACAAGGCAGAATAGAAAGCACTAAAAAAACCCCACAGTGGGCACGGAGGAGCTTAACAACTAGTTGGTACTGCAGCATCAAGCAAGGTACAGGGTGTTAATTCCACACTCCACATAACTGACAGCTGCCACTCCGACGGCTGGACTTGCCTCAGCATCCCAGGGTCCGTCCAGCCTGACACCCTGTCTCCAGCAAAGGCCACAGCTGATGTCTAGAGATCAGCTGTAAGAAGATGCTGCTTCCACTCCGACGGCTGGACTTGCCTCAGCATCCCAGGGTCCGTCCAGCCTGACACCCTGTCTCCAGCAAAGGCCACAGCTGATGTCTAGAGATCAGCTGTAAGAAGATGCTCTCTTCATCCTCTCCCAGCCTCCAATCTAGTGCAGTAGATTTCCCAAGCCTGATGCAGTCTATTTCATCACCTTAAAAAGCTCTGCTCCATGTACTTGTTCAATTTTCCCCTCAAATCCCAGCAAACTTACTACACGTGTAATGCCTTTTGGCAAGGAGAGCCTTTATCATCAATCTGTTCTAAGACCAAGTACATCCTTTCGTTGCTTGTACAAAGTTATAGTTTGTTTTCAGTCCTGCCTGTTCTGTTTACTGTCCAAATCAGAGCCAGCCCTCTTCTGACCTACACTGGACTCTACACCTTACATATAAAAGGTACGTCATTAACTTCAGGACAGTAAATCCTCATTTAAAACGATGCACTATCAGACTGAACCTTAAACCTATGACAGCAAATATTTATTTCCTGCTTAGTCTCCCTCACACATGCATAAGTAGTTAATAAAAAAAGATCCGCAACTCTGACTCCTTCTTACCAATATTTTGAGTAAAAGTAACAACAGCAGCATGTATTTCAGGAATCATTTCCACACTGAAGTCCCCATCATCCTCTGACAAGCCACTGATGTTCTCTATCAGCATAATTAAGACGCAATCTTTTACTGTCTCCCGCACGTTTTCCAGCAGAACTATGGAGGAAGGCTGGGATTGTTGAGAGTCCTCCACTTGGCATGGCTCCTGGAGAGTCTCTGCTTGCCACGGGTTCACCAAGAGATCAATTTTATTCACTGAGTGGTGCTTCCTCTGCAAAACTTCTTGGGCATCTAGTTCCATAGGAAAACAAACAAAAATGTGATTTTTCATCTTCCTGCCACAGCAGAGCAACGCATTAAACCATACTCTGCTTTAAAAATCTGGCCAGCCATATTTTCTCATGCCGCAGAAGAAAGAGAAATAAAGCAAAACTACATCAAAAGTTAGGGTCAAGAAAAGCTACTCTATGATCCAGATGCCCCCCAGTCTCCCCCAAAGGAAAAAAAAAAAAAGTTACTTTTTGAAGTACCCTCAAGTATTTCTACTACCCTCAAGTGCAAGACACTATTCTCCAGATTAGTAACATCTAATAAATAGCAAATAAACACTTTTCCATCCTGCTTACCTTGTGTATTTAGTAAATATTTAGCAACTATTTAACTACATTTGACTATGTTAAATGTTTAACTATATTTCTCCTGCATAAACAATTTCCTCTTGTTGCATACATCCTTCACACACTAACAAATAGCCAACAGCGATTTAGTGTAGAGGAAAACTCAGATAAATTGAGGCTACTTCAAAATAATTTTCTCCAGATGTGAGCATTCACTTCTCTGTCTTACAAATAAATAATATTTACTACCTCTTTTTCTCCTGATCTCCAAAACTCTGGCAATTCAAATGAATATGAAAGAAAATACAACAAAATAATGTTTACCCATGATCTGCAGTTAATACTGTACTATGCATTATCCAGTCTCCTGAACTAGAATTAAAGCTTCCTTATTCTGCAGTGCTCCTGACATCATTTCTCCTGCATAATTCTCTGTGAGCCCTGGGACAGGGCTAGAAAACCACTTATTTCCCTGGGATTATTACAAACAGTGTCAGAAACCCACACCTGCATTGGACAGACAGGCACACGTGCTCCTTTTACATCCTGTCACTCTTTGGGAATAATACATCATTTCTGCTGGAAATTTCTCCCAGAGAGACCCAGCACCAGCAAAGGCCTGGTGTACATAGGAGCTTTAGTAATGTAGGACCCATAAGAGATCATACCTTCCTCGTCCTGAAAGGTGATGATAATTTGCTCATCCTTTTTGACGAAGGACTCGATGGTGCCCCCACCAGACTTCTTTTTATTTTCAAAGTACATTTCCACAATTTCATCTTCTATTTTCTCCCCAGAGGCAGTGGTTACTACTATGGCAGATTTCCTAGATGTTTCTTTTTCCACTTCCAGTATCTCATGTGATTCTGAAATGAAAGATCACACCCTAATGCCTTAGGCAAAGGTTAAGAAAAAAACTCAAGCATATTACTTTCCAAGCTTTTACACTAGGGTTTGTTCAGATCACAGATAAGATCAGCGGAAAGAACAGGCAAACAAACAGTAATTCAGGCAGTGGGCTTTTTTCCACTATCTTTAAATCCCAAACAAGCTGAGTATTATCACTAGCGTGAGTTGTCATATCGACAGGTGAGAAGAATAGGCTTCCATTCATCACCAAGCAAGGACAGCAGAGGTAATGGCTATGAAAGCTCCTTAAGCTCCTTCACACATCCACGATGAGGGGAACCATCATTCTTCTGCCCCTGCACCATCTCCATTTACAGCTCCAGCCATTGCTGTACGTCGCTATGGGTCTACATGTGCTGCCTGTCACAGCGCTTAGGTATACCTGGGGTACACAGCTACTGATGTTCTACCACAGGTATACCTGGGCTGGTGGCAGCTGGGAAGGTCTGGATAAGGACAGCCTTACCCAGAAAGGTCAGTACCCACTGCACGTTCTCCCTAAGGAACCGACCCGTCTGAGGAAGTCAGTGAAGTGGGGAGTTTCCTAAAGGGACTTGTACAGAGAAAAAACCCCAACCGATTTATTTATTTTAGCCTGAGATCATGATTTCTACACCAGATTAGACAAACACCACAAGCCACCCAGGTGACCTGGGCACTATTGCAGCATAAAGGTCAATGAAAACCAATGGAACAGGAATACACTGGTTTTTGCTTGGTAAGTGGCACACTTACCTGTCTCCTCCTGCTGAGTGACCACAGAAGCCTCACTCTGGCAGACAGGAAGAGACACCTCAGGTTCATTAACTAGAGATAAATGACAATGCTTTCTCAGTTACTGTGTACCTCAAGAAGAACAAGGTAATGTTCTTGTAGACCTGGGAGCTAACACAGCTTGAATTTAGCTTCATTTGACATTGCCAGAATCATAGACTTCACTTTTGTCAGACCATATGTTGAATGTGTTTACAGAAACATCCTTTAAGCTCAAAAAACCCTCAGCCATAGTGTTAAAAAACAAACTGGCACGTAGTGGTGCTGCATGAACCATCAGGAGCAGGTCCCCCTGTGCATTCCAGCACCATCCTCATACAAGAACCATGCCGTCGAAAAAGAGCTCTGTTGAGGACACCTCTCCTCTGGAGGGAAGTGTCTTTAGAAACCAGGCACCTCTGTCATGACGTATCCTGACTCCCCACAATATCTCTACCTGCCAGTTTAGAACAGTAGGGAACACAGCTAAATTAGAAAACAAAAGGTATCAGTAATGTCAGACCACCTTTCTAGTCCATGCCCTCCATCTTCACCTGTGTGCCCCCCCCATTATTAGCACAAATAAGAAATTTACGTGTAGAGACAAGTGGGCTACATATGATAAGCAAACTGTGGCCTGCAGGGAGAATCAGAGAATTGTTGGAGTTGGAAGGGACCTTCTAGAGATCATCTAGTCCAACTCCCCTGCCAAAGCAGGGTTGCCCAGAGCACATCACTCAGGGCTACATCCAGGTGGGTCTTGAAGATCTCCAGAGAAGGGGACTCCACGACCCCCCTGGGCAGCCTGTTCCAGGGCTCTGGCACCCTCACCAGAAAGAAGTTCTTCCTCATTTTTGAGTGGAACTTTCCATGTTCCAGCTTGTGCCCGTTGCCCCTTGTCCTGTCACTGGGAAACACTGAGAAGAGTCCAGCTCCATCCTCCTTCAACCCACCCTTTAGGAACCTGTAAGCATTAATAAGGTCTCCCCTCAGCCTTCTCTTCTCCAGGCTGAAGAGTCCCAGCTCTCTCAGCCTCTCCTTATCAGGGAGATGCTCCAATCCCTCCATCATCTTAGTTGCCCTACGCTGGACTTTCTCCAGTAGCTCCCTGTCTCTCCTGAACCGGGGAGCCCAGAACTGTGTCCGTGACAAGAGCTGCACAGAAAGTCAGTTCGTTCAGTTTCAATGCACACCCGGCAGCTCGCTTAAGGGCTGTGCTTTACGAATTAGATCCGTTTTGTAGTTTCAATTAAAAATAATAATAATAACAATAAAAGAAACCACCACCAAAACAAAACAAAAAACAGACGAACAAGGAAGGAGAGGGCTGGAAACGAAAGAGCTCACGGCCAGCCCGCCCCAGCGGAGGGGCTCGGCCGCTGGCTCCGAGCGGCGGGGTGGGCCAGCGCCGCCGGGCTTGTGGCGAGAGTTCGCCCCCCACCCCACTCCATTCCCCCCCCCGCACCCCTCCCCGGGCAGCCCCTACCTGG